TAAAAGCTCATGTGAATTTGATAAATGCTAGAACAAAAGCCAGTGGTGCTATATTATTTTAGGTTTATAAAATAGACAGGGAGTTCGTTTTTTTCACGTCCTTGGAAAAACACTCTAGAGTTCAATAGAGTTTCATACTATGAAAGGATTTTGAATCTGTGAACTTCTGAAAAGCATAAAAGCATTTTCAAATTCTTTCTTACTTCTGTATATATTCATATGTTTTGTCTCCTCAAACTCAGTCTATGCTTATCTGATAGGTAGAATTTATAGAACTGATGACCAGGGTATTTCATTAATTTATTTCCTTGAACATTTTCCAAATTAAAGCAATTTTGTTCATAAAAATTACACTGACTTGGACTGTATGAATTCTTGTACAATGCCAGTGTGGGGAGCACTGGCAAGAGGTTCACCTTCAGACAGTTTGGGGGGGTTTCTTCCTGGGTGGGGAGCTCTTCAGCTTGCTTAGTCTGAGGAGGCTGAGAGTAAGTTCTCAGACACTTCCCTTGTGTCCATGCACAGCTTGTTAGAGTTGGCTCACTGTCTGTCCGGGCTCTGATGTAGAGTGGGCTCTGCAGCAGGACTCTGCTGTTCACCCACAACGCCGCCCTGCCCAGTACCCACAGACGTCCTGCAGCCGGATAGTCCAGGTCCCCCCTCTTCAGTGATGTGCGGGCATCCAGCCCTGACTGTCACTGTTCTACCATTGCTCAGGTCCCAGTGCCTCTCTGAAACAATCAGCTAGTCAAACACATGAAATCTAGCCTCTATTTATTATCTGTGGGGAGGGGAGGGATTGGTCAGGGGCACCACACTGAGATAGCAGGGAAAAACTCAAGACTCTCCACCTCTTTCTCCTACGTCACTGCTTTCTGCAGGTTCCAAAGCTCCTCCTGTCCAGAGCACTCAGGAAGGCATTTGGGGGCCAGGCTGCCTGCAGTGTTCCTGTGCTCAGTTTCTAGTGCTCATTTAGGAACCACTCACTGTGTTAATATTTTAGAACACTCAGATGACAATTCACTTTATTTTCAACTACTAGGATATAGGATTTCACTATCTGCTCATGTATTTATTTTTTTAAAATAGTTTTATTGATTTCAGAGAGGAAGGGAGGTAAGAGATAAAAACATCAATGATGAGAATAATTGATTTTATTTGTGTGTGTGTGTGTGTGTGTGTGTCCACTGGGATTGAGCCCACAACCGAGGCATATGCCCTGACCTGGAATCAACTGGTTCCTGGGTCAACACTCAACTGGGCTATCTTATTCCTTTAGAAAGTGCTGCCCTAGACTTCCTGCCATCACAAAACACTGATGGGTTCCTCTCTTCCACCAGGGCCAGGAAAGGCAGGGCTTTTAGAAGTTTATTTATTTTTTTAAAATATATTTTATTGATTTTTGTACAGAGAGGAAGGGAGAGAGATAGAGAGTTAGAAACATCAATATGAGAGAGTCATTGATCAGCTGCCTCTTGCACCCCCCCCTACTGGGGATATGCCCGCAACCAAGGTACATGCCCTTGACTGGAATCGAACCCGGGCTCCTTCAGTCCCCAAGCCGACGCTCTATCCATTGAGCCAAACCGGTTTCGGCTAGAAGTTTATTTTTTTAAAGTATGTAGGAAAAAGCTAGCGATGTTTACTCTTCAGAATTGAAATGAGTTTCTTTATGTTCTAAGAACTGTCAACAAGAGTGGGAAAACCCCCCAAAATTTATCCTTGGAGTGTTTATAATGCTTCTAACAAAAGAAATTACCTAATATTTTCTTCAGACAGGTGTGCAGTGGGCTTATAATGCAAAGTCCTTCCTCTCCAAGAACTCTTCCTTCAAGAAAAAATGATTCCGTCTGACTTTATGGAAGTAGAAGGTTTGAATGAATGGTCTTTGCAGAAAGAATCCTGGTAGAAAAGTTCTGAGTATGAGGCTGACACATTTTCCTGTCCATGTCCCAACTATGAATCCAGTAAACAAAATTTTCAGAACAGGATGAAGATGCTGTGGACCTTTAGAGCAGTTCCTGCACCTCAGTTCCTGTCCCTTTATTTTTAGAGCTGGAGAACTGCTTAGATTCCTTGATTCTTTCCAGGGTGGCGGTTGCAAACAGGATTTTTTTAGGCTTTGGGCATAAAAGCATTACCATAATTTAATTTTTTAAAAATATATACTTATTGATTTTTTTTTTTTTTTACAAAGAGGAAAGGGAGAGAGATAGAGAGTTAGAAACATCGATGAGAGAGTAACATCGACCAGCTGCCTCCTGCACACCCCCTACCGGGGATATGCCCGCAATCAAGGTACATGCCCTTGACCGGAATCGAACTTGGGATCTTTCAGTCCACAGGCTGACGCTCTATCCACTGAGCCAAACCAGTTTTGGCCATAATTTATTTTGAGATGCTAATAGATGAGTGTTTTAAAGAAGAAAGATTAACCTTCCTTTTTTTTTTTTTTTTTTTTTTTTTGTAAAGTCATTGTCCAAAAAGATATGTTTTAACACTCAGCCCAGTGCCTAGCACAGAGCAGGTACTTTGTAAAATGTATCCATGTAAGAATCAAATACCTTTTCTTAGCTCACAAACAAGTAGATAAAACATGAAGAAATGCTTTTAAACTAAGATTTGGGTCTTAGGATTGGGATTTAGGCAGTTAGGAGAGCACACTGGTTTTGTTCTCTTTCACAACTACTCTTTGGAAAGATGCGTAGGCTCTATACCTGAATAACTACAAGTCTAGATAAGAAATTTAGAATGAATATAGTGACAAGGAGAAAATTCTAAGATGTCCTGTGTTAACGTAAAAAAAAAAAAATTGAAACCTATAAAGAATTTTTTGTGAGTTTATTTGAGCCAAATGGTTGACATATGCTGGGAAACAGAACCTCAATGAATTGAGATAATGCTCCGGAGAATGGTGGGTTACATCTGTATTTATACATTGCAATCAAAGGAAAGGGATGTAGGTAGGTTATATGAAATCCATTGGTGATAGACTAGAGAGGCGGGAGAAAGCACAGGGGCAAGGGGGCCTGGGATTGGATAAAAAGTAAAATGAGCCGAAACCGGTTTGGCTCAGTGGTAGAGCGTTGGTCTGCGGGCTGAAAGGTCCCAGGTTCGATTCTGGTCAAGGGCATGTACCTGAGTTGCAGGCACATCCCCAGTAGGGGGTGTGCAAGAGGCAGCTGGTCGATGTTTCTCTCTCATCGATGTTTCTATCTCTCTATATCTCTCCCTGTCTGTGAAAAATCAATAAAATATATTAAAAAAAAGTAAAATGATAGATACATACTTAGGCGGGTACAGGAACAATTAACATAATAAGGGATTTGTGGTATCTGTCCTGGCGCCCAGCACATTAAGTTGTTCCCTAAGGGGTCCAGAAAAAGGGAAGTTACAAGTTACCCAGACATTTTAAGGGTATGTTGTTATAGATGCAGAAAGACACATAGGCTCAGTTAAGGTAAAGGTTGACCTTGTCAGTGAAGATACCATCCTAGGACGTAACTATCTACCATAACTGCTTCTAATTAAAGTTTAATTTCAGACCATCCTTTGTGGTTACTTTAGGTCTCTGAGTTTGCAAGACTGCCATGCAAGCCTTCCCTGAGCTTGTCAGGTTAGCATGTGGCCCCTTTCCTCCACACCTGAATTAACTACAGTGGCCAGAGGGTGGAAGGAAGAGATAAGAAGTTAATCAGTTAACAGCAGGGCAAAAACATCAAAAGATGGTTCACATTCCTGAGTGCCAGGTGCCACTGCCCCCCAGGTGTGTAATTTTTCCATACTGTTGCCCATACTCTTCCTCTGGACTCTGTTGCCTGTCCTGGAACCAGCCTGCCTCACCTTCTCCCATGTCTTTATCTATGGCGATGTCAGTTTTTTGAAACAACTTGCATCTTCTCCTATGTGGTGTATAGAGTTCTTCAGACCCAGGACTGTGGGCATGTGCTCTTGTTACAGAATTTACCAGGGGACTGAAAAATACACAGGAATACCCAGAGACACAGGAAAAACCCATTTATTTCCAGATGTATCAGTACCGTGATTCGGGAGCCTATTTCCAAATTCTGAGTAAGCCAATATGGGGGAAGCTTTTTCTTTATACCCTTTGGGTTCTTTGTCCCCCATATATGGATCATACTTCTGGAACTTTTGAAGGCTTTGCAAAAAGCCCAGTGTGTTGGGATGGGGGCTGTGAGACCACACCAAAAGGCCTGGCCTGGCACCAGCACTGATAACCCCCTCTGGGGATTGTGTATTGTTCATGGCTATGGCCTCTGTAAAATGAGAGTAACAGGTCTTGGAAGACCAGATAATTAAGGAAGGGACAGTGACTAGAGTATAGGCTAGCAGGAATGTGCAATAGGGTTACAGAGTCAGGTCGTCCCCCCAAATGTCTTATTTCCCTCATCACTCTAACCTAGCCCCGCTGTGGTGGTTCAGGCTGATGGCCCATAACCCGGCCTGCTGGGCAAGTATTTTGTTTAGCAACAAGTTCGGCTGAAACATGACTGGCTTTCATCCTAAGAGGAAACCAGACCTTAGTGGCTAGGGTTGTGTTTCTAAGGGGAAATGTGCTGCAGTTCCTGCGTCCTATTCCTTGAAAACTGGACTTCTGTAGTTTCTCTGGAGACTAGACATCTCTGGTATATACCTACCATCTTTAGTGTGTGTGTGTGTGTGTGTCCTCAACATTCATGCTGAACGCAGATTTTCACACAAAAATCTTAAACATCATTGCCTGGCTACATGCTTGTTGGGGTCACCTTGTCCCGCTACGTTCACGGCTGGGGAGGCTCTTGCTCATGAGACAGCAGCACAGCACGTGGCCCGTCTGCAGCTCCGGGACATTCTGAACTCCTGGGAGGGGCAGAAAGCGGCAGAGGACCGCGGTTTCGGGGCGCCAGAACTCATCCTGGCAAGGGCTAAGGCGGAACGCATTTCCTCCCTCTCTCGCTAGTAAGGGGGAGGGCGGAAGCACAGGACCGGGGAGGGCGGAAGTGGCGGAACGCTGAGGCTCTGCTTCCGGCGCAGGAGTCGCGTCGCCGCTTTCTGGCTATGGCGGCGCTCAGCCGGCAGGTGAGGTTGCGCGGGGAGCCGGGCTTTTCGCGGGCCGCGGGCGGGGCCGGCTGTTTCATGACAGCCCGTGGCATCTTGCAGCCTGAGCCTTTCAGGGAAGCCGGTGCCCGCTGACCGGGGGCCGCTTCGGCTCCGTGGAGGCAGCAGCTGGGCCGGTGGCTGGGAGAGAAGGGAAGCCGGGAGAGGCGACTTACTGCAGAGTCCTCGGTGCCCGGTGACGTGCTGCGTTTGCTCTTAGCCCACAGAACCGCTGAAGGTTTCTGAAGCAAACGAGCTATTCGGTACGCGAGTTGGCTGACAGGTTACGTAATACACAACAGGGTTGCTTTGCGGAATGTATGTTGTTGCTACGTGAATCTTGGAGACTAGTATGAGATCCAGATTTCAGGAGTGGGTGCTCTAGCTCCGCCCTCCAGAGTTGGCACGAAAATTGTTTCAAACTAAAGGCTTTTGAGATTCAGCAGATGCAGGGAGAAGCTTCGTCGGATTTTCTCTCACCACAAAGCAGAAACATCTGGGACTGAGGCCGCCATAGGTTCCATATACATATTAAGAAACTTGGATGCTTTTTTCTTCCTGTTAATCTGACTATTGTGAGTTAAATTTGTGAGCCCCCAGGCATTGACCCTTAGCAGATAAGAGGAAAAGCCCTCCTCTAAACTTGACCAGGTGGCCTTTAACTAGTTCTCTCCTGTCCTCCCTGCCGCTGTCCTCTCAGTTGTGGCAGCAGAAGCTAATAGAGACTGTTTGACTCTGTTCTCTATGTGTGAACCTCTTCTAGGTTTTTAAAGTGCAGGTATGATTTTGCAGATTTCTTACAAAATCTGTTATGTTTGTGTGGGACTCTGCTCACCAGCCCTGTGGGTCCCCATTACACGGAGTGGTGAGGAAGTGACTCCCTTTTGTATTACATTTTACAGGTTTTGGATTGGCACCGCCTGATCCCCCTCTCCTGGGCTGGCATCGCTAGGCACACGCCTCACTTTGGAGAACAGAAAAGGGCAACGGCTTCCTTGCTGCGTAAACTGACCACAGCCTCCAGTGAAGGGGCCTTTGAGGGTTCACCCCATGTCCAACCCAGGAAGTGTGTGCAGGAACCAGAGTGCAGGACAAGCCTTACTCAGTGCCTTGAGAAGCAGAGGGCTCCTGTGGATGGAGGGTCCTTGGAGCGAGAGGTGGTCATCAGTTCCCTCCTGGACATGGGTTTCACTGATGTCCATGTCCAAGAATTGCTCAGTATACAACCAGGTCCCCACCCTCAACAGTTGCTGGGCATCACCTCAAAGCTAATACTCTTGGGTGTGAATCCAGAGCCTGTGTGCGTGATCTTGAAGAAAAGCCCTCAGTTATTGAAACTGCCTGTAATGCAGATGGAGAAGCGCTCCAGTTACCTTCGAAAACTTGGGATTGGAGAAGGTACAAAGTGTGGGCTCTATATATAGTGCTGAGTCATTCTGAGCTGGAATACAAATAGCCTAGGTGAGATGGCTTTAGGGAGTTTTCTGGGGGAAAGTTCTTGAAAGGAATGTGTGATTTGGTTTGGAGGTGAGGCAGTAGGCATTGCAGGAAGGAAGAGGGGATTGAATGACAGGCAGGGACTCTTGTCTGGATTGTTCACCTTGGGGACTCGGCATCTAGAACAGTGGTGGGCACATGATGCATGCTCAGCAGATAGCTGCTAATCGGTGATGTTGTATAAGTGGGCATTTGTAGCCTTTGATGTTTAAATAACTGGATGTGGACTTAATGCTTTGTATCTGTATGATGTAAAGCCAGAGTCTTAACAGTCCCCTGTAAAGAGTGGGTTCCAGCTGGGTGTCTTGACATACTGTGGAACATGAGATCTTTCCAGATTCTTGGGAAGCTGGTGGAGTGGCTGTCTCCTCCAGACACTACCCTCACCCCCATCAGGTTTTATGCCTCCAGAATCCTAGAAGTTCGTTGGATCTTTTTATGGGCCTCTGGAGAAGGGGGGCTGGAGGCCCACAAGGGTCTCCAATTTGACAACAGGAATTCCACTATTTTATATTTTAATTAATTTATTTTTTTACTTTATTTTATTTTTCATTCTTGACTCTTACTGGTAAGATCTTGTTGGGGGAGAAAAGGTTTGTGGATTCAATATTTCAAAGGATCTCAATAGGCCTCTTCTAGAAGATGAACAAAAGACAGCCTATGTATTTCTCTTAACTAATAACTGGTTTACTGTAATCTGATAGGCTAAACTTAATGCCTTATGCGCTGTTACATAAATTGGCAAGCTCAGCACAGCTTTAAGCTGCAAAGATAAAGTCTAAACTTCTGAAAGTCATTCGTGACCATTTTTTCAAGGCAGTGACGAACTCAACTGTTAGGAAGATTTTAATTAACAGTTTACATAAGTGATTTTAAGTTCCTGGTGTTAATTTTTTCCAACTGACCATGGGACACTATATGCCCCAATTCTAGGGCAGTTTCGATTTATACATTTATCCTAAAACAGTTACTAAGGCCTCTTTCACTTAAAGTGCCCCAGTTTGGATAAAATATATGGTCTTCTCACTAACTCAGAATCAATAGTTGTGTTTGTGCAGTTACCTCATTAAATATTGTCATGGATCATCTTTCCGTGACTTTTACTGTGGAAGAAACCCCCTTCTCAAAGCCCCCACTTAGGGGACACTACTGTCCCATCTTACTGTCTGACTTTTCCAGTCAGTCTTTGGGAAATTCTTTTCTAAGTGAGGAGGGCAGAAGGAGACCTAGAATATGAAGTAGGCACCTTTCAGCTGAAAAGCCAGAAGGAGGCAGGAATGCCAGGAAGAGAGGAAGGGTTGTCCAGTCTGAGGAATGAGGGTATCAGCGGGGTGATGGGCTGTTCTGGTTCCCCACTTCGGTGGCACTGTTGGGAAGATCTCGGAGGCTGGCACCTGTTTGGGAGGTGTCCGTGTTCATTTTGAAATGCTGGCTTGACGTGGGCACAGCTAGTCCCCTTTTCTGCAATATCCTTTTTGTGTTCTGCAGGGAAACTAAAGAGGGTGCTTTACTGTTGCCCCGAAGTTCTCACCATGCATCAGCGGGACATTGACCGCATCGTCAAGGTGCTCAGGGAGAAGTGCCTTTTCACGGTTCACCAAGTGACTGAGATTTTGCACAGATGTCCCTATGTTCTTCGGGAGGACCCGGATGAGCTGGAATACAAATTCCAGGTGAGAGTGGCAGAGTGACTGGAGGACCTACAGCGGACTCTGGAGTGTAGCAGGGTCAGCTCTGTGGGTAAGAAGCATGGGATACCCTCTGGCCAGAGAACCCGTTTTGGTTCTCACGCCCATACAGGTGAGATGGATTCCGCAGCTTTCCTGCATTAAAGGTGAATAACCCTGCCCCATTTTCAGAGTCCGAGTGGGGCCTCTGTTTGAAATTAGCTAATTTAAAAATAGCTAAAACCTTCCTATCTTTAGAGCCTGTTTTGCATGATTATGACAGCTGTCTTAAATTTTTGGTAAACAGTTATGATGACTTAGTTCAAAAGTTCAAATCTCTAGATGTTTTCCGATTCATTTCTTCCGCCATCTGAAGAAAAATAGAACTCCTGCCCTTTAGTTCCTGCAACAAGAATTTGAAAATGCTTTGAAACTTGCCAGTCATCATGCAGATGTGGGTGTCAGAGGGTGCCCTGTCTTGTTGGTTAGGTGCGCTTGCTGAATGGTTTTGCACAGTTGAATTCGCTGTGTCTGAGGACCCGCCCTGAGACCCTAACCTGCCTGTGTCTTCAGTATGCCTACTTTAGGATGGGGGTGAAGCACTCGGACGTGGTGAGGACTGACTTCCTGCAGTACTCCATCACCAAGATCAGGCAGAGACACACGTTCCTGGAGCGCCTAGGTCGGTACCAGACCCCGGATAAGAAGGGGCAGACGCAGATCCCCAACCCTCTTGTCAAGGACATTCTCAGAGTTTCAGAAGCTGAATTTCTGTCCAGGACAGCCTGTTCTTCTGCTGAGGAGTTTGAAGTTTTTAAGAAGCTCCTGGCTCGGGAGGAGGAAGAGGAGTCTGAGAGCCACATGTCTGGTGACGAAAGCACTAGTGAAAAGGAAGAGGAGGAGGAGGACCAGGACCAGGAGGAGGAGGAGCTATGATAGAAGGCCCAGAGACATTAAAGGACATTTTTGTTCTCTCAGAGCTTTTGGAGCTTCACTTGGACCTTCTCAGGCCATTTTTCATTCTAAAACTAGTGTTTCGATGAAAAATTATCATAGATCACTTGAGAAGTAGGTCAGACTGAGTTAGAGGTTGGTTAGTTTAATTTGTTGTCAGGTCTCTGGGGAGAGCCCTGCTCCATTGAAAATAAAGACTGACTCTCAGCTGTTGGAATTGGGAACTCAGTGCATTGACATCTGGTTTTATTTTCTCTGTCATAGCTGTGGGTGATGTTCCATGACAGTGTGGGGGACAAGGATCCTTTCTGGTTCTTGTCATTTTACATTTCCTTCTAGTGGTAAAAATACAATTATGAGAATGATGGGAGGCTTTAGTACATCATAGCACTTTATTTTATGAAAACAAATAGCAGGTTTTCCACAAAAGTACTCATGTTTTTAATCTAAAAATATTTCATAGTTGCATTCAGTGTACAGCAGAGTAGAGGGAAGTGGGTCAGTTTGGCTTCATTTTGCATAGGTTCTTCCTGCCAGCACAGTGCTGGGCACTTCTCTCTCTTGTGAGGAGCAGGCCCTGGCTCTGACCTCAGGGAATTCGGCTTTCATGCCTGCTCATGGCTAGCGGGTCATGTCAGGGCCTGATGTCTCTAGCAGCCAGCAGTGCTGACCTGGGGCATGCCGGAACAGAAGGAGCCATGGAGCAGATATAGCCAGCCACCTCCCATCCTCTTAGGGGGCTTTGGAGGCCAGAGGAGAAGAGCATGTGAACACAGCGAGGGGCCACGGATCTGTGACACCCAGCGGGAGGAAGGCCCTTAGGGAAACCCAGGAGGTCTAAGCAGTGATTTGAAGCATTGGATCAGAGACCCAGACCTGAGGGCATGAGCTCTATGATGGGGGAGGGTGGGTACATCTTAGGATGTCCGGGGAACCCCTTCTTTGGGCTGATTCTGCAGGGAACAATTTTGGTGATGTGACCAGAGTTTAGGCTGGCAGCACTTAGAACCATTAGGCTCCCAGCTCTTTCCTGCAGACCATGTGAAAATCCTCTGTTGGGCCCTATTCTCACCAGGGGCCATCCTGACCCAGGGAACATCTGGGGACATTTTTGGTTGTTAGGACCAGGAAAAGGAGCAGTTGGGACCCAATGGCTTGAGGCCGGGGCTGCTGTCAAATGCCCTGCCATGCACAGGACAGTCCACACACAATGACCAGCCCTAATGTTGCTGGCTGAGGTGGAGAAACAGCTCTCTGGGTCCCCAAAGTATGACCGTATCGGCTCATGAGAACCTCAGGTTTTAAATGGGCTTACATTTGTTGTATTTCTATTTAGAAAGAAAGTAAATAGTCAGTTTTAAAAGAGAGTTCCTTGCCCTGTGCACTGGATTGCAGTTGGCAGACTTGAGCTTTATTTTCACAGGGAATTCATTGCTGAGCCAAAACAGTCGTGCTTTCGTTTTCTCTTGGCGCCCAGGGGATTGCAGAGAGAGGCACTGCGTGCAAAACAAGTGGCTCAGGGAACCTCGGACTTGTGAGCCAGACATCTGTGGCCCTGGTTGGCCATGGGAGGCGGTCCAGCTAAAGGAAGGTGCTGGAGCTCGGTGACATGAAGTGGCCCTTGCCCGCTGACTCCCTGGTGGCGAGGAGCTCCATTTCCTCTGTGACAGCCATGTGCAGTAGGGAAAGGGGACATTTTGTCTTTACTGCCTTTCTTGGCCAGGGCCAAAATTTTTGAACAAGAAAATAATTCACCACATGCCAGTGTTTTCACTTATTCTCCATTTTGTTGTGTCCAAGTGATCAGCATGTTCCCTAGAGCATACAGTGTGGTTTTTGTGCCCAGTTAGGAGACACAGTGGAACCCTAAATCCCAAATCTATGCCTGATTGGATGCCAGGTCACCCAGCCTGGTCAGCAGGTGGCTAACTGCAACTCAAGCTTGTTCCCCTGTGATTTTGATACAGAAGTAAATGTTGATGCCCTAACAATTTTCTGATCCATTACTAATTTCCTTGGGTGAACACTGAGTATTTTCAAGGAAGAAGAGTTTTACGAAGGAGCCATGAGGAAGCTCGTTTGGAATGTTTCAAGGATGATTTGTAATTTCCTTTAGTGTCAGGAAGTCTTTATACTAGATATTTAATTTGTACAACATCAAAATGGGCTAATTGTAAGAGCGCACAGCACTAAGCCCAGGATTCAGTAGACTTATAAAACAAATGCTTCTGAGCTAAAATCGAGCACATCTGCCTCATGGCTGAGGGGCTTGAGGTCATTAACATGGTCATAGAAGTTTCATCTGCTTTTCCAGTGACGTCACTTGGTCTTGTCATTTGCTGGTGATGCTGTAGCTTATGTGGACGCACAGTGACAGGTCGCAGTGCTGCAGCAGGAGTCAGTGGCATGTGTTCATGGTCATGGTTTTCTCCTTTCACCCAGGGTTGGAGCCCCTTGATGGAGCTGATGCCTTCAGATGGCCCTGAGACTGGGAGCACAGTAGAGATTTCTTGAAATGACTAATCCTCCTTTCTGTAAATGATAAGTATACTACACAGACATATGTACACACAACTTTAATAAAAAAAATTCCTCTAAAATATATTCTAACTCTTTAAGAAATGTTTTGTAAAGATGAGAGGAAGGAGCGCTTCCTATGGCTGCAAAACTGACTTGGGCAGTGTCAGTGACGACGCACCAGGACTCTAGTTCTAGTTGGGTTGGCTCTTAAAGCGCCCAGCAGGTCAAGGCGGGCTGGCTTCTGTAGTGGCCTCACTTGCAGGGAAGAAAGCTGTTCAGAAGGCTCTGGAATGTGGTGTGGCGATGATGCGCATCTGCTGGGAGCTGATTGGTGTGGAGATGGTGCTTGCTGCCTGGTAGCCTGACACTGTGTTGCCTGAGTCGTGGGTTAAGAGGATCTTAAATATCATGTGGCCTCGCCCGCCCCAGATGCCTGTCTTCATTACTCAGACCCGTAAGGAGGAGCCCTGGCTACCGCCAAGTGCCTTCCCAAACAGGTTTGTGTAGCACTTCCATGACACTCAGGTGGGTCTTTGGTGCCAAGCTGTGACTTGTCGTCCGGGATGGCTTTCTCTGCATCAGCTGAAGCCTGAGTGGGGTTAGCCACATATGGTCAAGGGGAAGTGGCCCCTAATTTTGTAAATCAAGTTTTATTGTAACAGCCTCATGGGGTTAGGCACATGTCAATGGCTGTTTTTGTGCACAAGCACAGGGCTGAGTTGTTGCCACAGAAATCATCTGGTCCACAAAGTCCAAGATATTTCCTGCTGACCCTTTCTGGGAAAAGGGCAGACTAAGTATCTAAACCCCATCTTAGTATGAACATTTTCTCTTTCAAAATCTGCTGGTGGGTTGATGGATCACTAACCTTCACCTCCCTCAGTAAATGGCCTGCTGGGGAGGTGAGCCTGCTTCCCTGTGCCCCTCATTAGTCTGCCCTCTTGCCTCCCAGCCCCACCCTCTGCTCTGCAGGTTGTCCATGGCAGCTCCTCCTCAATTTGGCTGTGGGGTCTCAAAGAGAGAATTCTTTCTATGATTTAGAATCTGGAACTAGTTTCTGGATGTTGCCAGGCTCATCCAGTGCTCTCTGCACGAGATGGCTGCTCGTCAGCGATGCAGGCCACCCTGGAGGAAATTTCCAGCCGTGTGCTGGAGGCAGTGTGGGACTAGGAGGTGTCTGTCCTAGAGGACCTCCCTGGCTGGACCCGCCTGGCCATCTGTCTTCTAGAAGCCGGAGGAGCGAAGCCACAGAGGGGTCAGATTCCAGCCAGGACCCTGTCACTCAGGGTGTCCTTGTCAATTCAATTTAGACCTCATCTTCCTGGGCTTTAGAAACTTGTGAGGTTGATGGATTATAGCAAGAATGTCCAGAATCCTTTGAAGAAAAAAAAAAAAAAAAAAGGACATGAGAATGGTACTCTTATCTCTGCGATGGTGGCTTCTCATCTCTCTTAGTGCCCCATGTTGTTGTGACATCAGAACTGAGGTCCTTGCCCTCTAACGTGGCAGTAAACAGGGTGAGGCAGGTTTGTCAAGGACTGACTATGTCCCCTGGGTAGGGACCTTTCAGCAGCATCACCGGCTGCTCCCCCATTCGGTGATGCCCTTGATCTTTCCTTGAGGCATGCTGCCCCATTGCTCTGGGTTGAAATGAGTTCTTATGTGGTGGCTTTGGATGTGTGACTGTGTCTGTGTATTTCTGTGTCCTGTTGGTTGGTGTTTTCTCCATTGTTTCAAGAATTAGTATTTTAAAAGCCAGTATTTGATAATTAGCGAAGGGTTTTTGATTTGTTTTTAGAGAAATGGGTTTGTTGAGCAGTTTTTAAAAATATATATTATTCTTTCAGGTGACTTATCACAATATAAATATTTGATACCCAAATCATGTTTGTGGGATCTTGATCCCAGTATGAATTGCTTGCAGGGCTTGGCGTATGTGTTTTGGATGTGCATGTCTTTGGAGCCTAAGGTGGGAGTGATGCCTTTGGGTGACTTCACATCTGACGGGACGGCAGCTGGAGAGAACCATGCACTTCCCCCCTGCAGATCCCTGCCTGGCGGTGTGAGCCCACACCTGCAAGGCTCTCTTGCTTCTGGATGTTGGTTAAGGTTTCTGAATAATACTCCTCAGCTATATTGTGACCATGGATTGTGTGAAGTAGCATGTACCCAGAGCCCCTCTCTCTCCTACCACATAGGCAATGGACTATTTGGCTCATTGATGGAGAGCAGAGAGCTGTCCCAGCCACCGAGTGACATTGTGTTGACAAGAACCTGTGGTCAGTGGGAAGCTCGGTATCTTTCAAGTGACTGTGAAGACTTGGGCCGCTTACATGTGGGGAGGTGGAACCCCAATAGGGTTTGGGAAATGTTAGGTGAAACCGAAGTCAGGAAGCGTCTTTCATCTCAAGGTTTTTGAGTACTCCTAAGCACTCTCTCAGTGACAGAGTCCTTAGAACTTTCCAAAAGTTGTGACTAAGGCTCCACACCCTGTCCTCCCCCCCAATAGATGGCCATTTACAGGGTCTGGAAAGCACTCCCGTAAGTCCCCAGCCCCTAGCATTCCTGTGTCCTCCACCCTTCCTTGGTTTCCTTCAGAGAAAGCCGTTTGTTTTCCCTGCAGAGAGCCTGGTTTCTGCCCGAAGATGCATCTGTCACAGGTTTGTCTACTGGGAGGCCTAATGTACTCTTTCTCACCCAGCTCCCTTGGAGTTATGAAGCCTGGTCTAGGGTATCTAGAAGAGCCTCCTTGCAGCTCTCCTAGCTGCTGCGAATGTAAGTACGTACCTAATACCTACGCTGTTTTCAGTGTTGCACTGTTACTTCGTTTCCTGAAAGGAATAGAGAAGGTCGTTTATGAAAAGAAACTGTGGGCCTGTGACCTTGTGGTACACTCTTCCCAACCGCCTGCTGCCACCCCCTTTTCTTTAGCTCACACATCAGTGTACCCGATGCCAAGGATAGCAGTCTGTATGCCCCTTTACCACTCAACTGAATGGCTGGGTAATTCATGCAGCATAAAGGGGGGGGGGGGGAAGGGGATAAAGGGGGGCAGTGGGGAGCCTGAGCTACTGACGGGGAGACAAGGACAAACTCACACCAGCCCTTGTGAATTGTCATCCCATTTTTTCTGAACACAGTGATGCAGACCAGTGTGTGTAGTTATTGGGGGCCTGTGAAGACTGTGCCTAGGCTCTTTTGAAAGCATGTGATGTACTCAGTACTTTATATAATAACTATTGTGACTACCTTGAGCCCTTTAGGGAAAGAACTTGGGTGTGAGAGGGTAAAAAGTAAACAGACTTACGCTATTCGCAGTTTTGTACTTGGGCCTGTCCTAATGCTCATGCTTTCCAATTTGAGCACCAGATACTGAGTGCACATGCATGACCAGAGTCACCCCTCATACCCCCAGCACCCACCCTGTGACCTACTCTAGCACCCACCCTGTGACCTCCCCACAGCACCCACCCACCTCTGACCACCCCAGCATCCACCTAGCCTAGCACCTCCTGTTTGGGGTGCTCACATACACATCTGGGCAGATATGCAGCCTGGCTCAGCCCCAGACCGGTGGCATCCACAGTGCTCAGTCCCTTTGCTTGTGCCCTGCGAGCCACAGCAGGACAAGCAGGGCCTCCTCCTGAGACGCACCTGCTTGGGGTTTTCTTGATGCTTGTGCTCTCACAGCTCTCTTTGAAGCAGATATCCTGGTGTACCTTGTAGACTCGTTTATACCTGTCACAAAAAAGCTCCATCAAGGCAGGAACTTGAGCAGGATGGTGCCCAGCTGGTTCACCTCCGCTACATGGAGACCAGGTAACGGTGCAGGTGTTTGAGGGCAAGGCCATTATTTTCTTAATAAAACTTGACCTTATAGGGATGTATTGAAATGTCCCACATAAGAGTCATGTAATTTTTTTTTCTTTTTTTTTTTCTTACAGAGAGGAAGGGAGATTGAGATAGAGAGCTAGAAACGTCGATGAGAGAGAAACATCAACCAGCTGCCTCTTGCACACCCCCTACTGGGGATGTGCCCGCAACCAAGGTACATGCCCTTGACCGGAATCGAACCTGGGACCTTTCAGTCCGCAGACCGGAGAGTCATGTAATTTTTAAAATTAACTTTACCAAGGCATAATTTATATGAAATGAGATACACCCATTTTAAATATATTTTGAGGAATATTGAGAGTTATATGATATTAAGAGAGAAAATGTGAAATTTAAAAGACATATCTTGCTTAGGGTAGGCTACTTGGCCTAGTGGTCTTGAGATGCAATGACCCACTTTTCCATTGATGGGCAATTCACCGTAAGAAGCCTTGGAGATGCAGGCATTAGATGTGAACAGCGTAAAACAGGAGAGCTGACTTCATGCTCCACCTAGCATGTCTCTGGAACTTAAGCCTCAATTTTGTGTAAAATATTACCTCTCTCACAGGTTTATAGATGATAATGAATGGTAAGGATTTTGGTTCTTTTTAAAGCTCTCAAACATCAAGAAAGAGAGATCCAGGGAGTTGGATGGGCACAGCTCCAGCTCATGTGCTCAGTCTAGGAGAGCCATTGGGAGTTAAGGCCTTCGGTAAGACTTCTGGCCATCAGGGAGTAACAGGATATGGAACTACCTCCCAATGCAAACAACCAGAGAACTGGACAGAATATAAGAAGTAATTTTTTTTTTTCTTCCAGATATTAGAATACAGAGCAAGACTGTGATCCCTGAGAGAAGGGAAATGAGTGAGATGAGTCCTGTGGTCACCCTGGAACTTATTCTGGAGATACTTTTTGACTTCATTTCAGGTCAGGGGATCCAAGCAGTGATTGTAGGTTGAGGAAACAGATTGGAATTGGGAAGGGAGAGGCAGTGGGGCTTTGTGGGGTGGAGCACTGGAGAGGAGGGAGCCATGCAGTGGAAGAGAGCCAGAGTGGAGGGATCTTGCTCAATAAGAGGCCATTCTATAAAAATAGAAACCCCAAAAAGGCCATGCCTTAGAAGTGGGGCAGGATTAATCCCAGAATAAGGTGGGTGCTAAAGCCACCCTTAGCAAGCTTCAAAAGAACCAAACTCAAAGTAACTGCCTTGCAAAAAACAAAACAAAACAAAACAAAACAAACACTCAACATTCTTGAAAAGAATACAAAAAATATTTTAAAATCCAGTATATGGGAGCAAAGTTTATAACATCCAGCATCCAACCAAAATTATGAGACATTTAAATAATTATACAAAGAATAAAAAAACTCATAAATAGGCAAAAAATAATTGATTAGAAAAGCATCTAGAGATGAGAGCAATGACAGAAACAGTAGAAAGGGCCTTAAACATCTATTATAAATTTTGTTCCACATGTTCAGTGGTCTAAAGAAAAAATGTAAGCATAATGAGAGACATAGAGGATCTAAGAAAGAATTAAGTGGAACTTCTGAAGAAAATACCTAGTAATTTTGCCAACTGGATTAGTGGTCAATAAGACACTGAAGGAGGAAAGATCAGTGAATTTGAAGGCATAACAATAGGACCTACCAAATGAATAGAGAAAAAGACTGGGGAAAAATGAAAGGAGCCTCAGTGACCTATGGGACAACCTCAGTCTAATACATGCATAAATGGAATTTCAGAAAGGAGAGGAGAGAAGTGGAGGAACAGAAAAATATTTTAAAGAAATAATGGCCAAATTTTTCCAAATTTGATGAAAGCTAAAAACCCAGAGATACAAGAAACTTATTAAACTCCAAAGAGTAAACACACAGACACATACACAACCACATGGAAGCACATCATAGGTAAGATTCCTGAAACTAGTAATAAAGAGAAAGCAGAAGCAGCCATAGGGGGTTTGGGGACATATTTCATAGTCTTCTTTTTTTTTAAAAATATATTTTTATTGATTTGGGAGAGGAAGGGAGAGAGAGAGAGATAGAAACATCAATGATGAGAATCATTGATTGGCCACTTCCTCCTCCTCTCCCCTCACTGGGGATGGAGCCCACACCCCAGACATGTGCCCCTGACTGGAACCCTAGAGTTCACAGGCTGAGGCTTTATCCAAATCAGCTAGGGATTCAGTGTCTTCTTATCTGAAACTAGGCAAGGCATAAGACTAAGAAAGGATCTACGTCTTTAGAGTGTGGAAAGAAAAAAAGTATCATCCAAGAATTTTGTATTTAGCAACTTTATCCTTAAAAAATGAAGGTGGCCGAAACTGGTTTGGCTCAGTGGTAGAGCGTCGGTCTGAGGACTGAAAGGTCCCAGGTTCGATTCCGGTCAAGGGCATGTACCTGGGTTGCAGGCACATCCTCAGTAGGGGGTGTGCAAGAGGCAGCTGGTTGATGTTTCTCTCTCATCGACGTTTCTAGCTCTCTATCTCAATCCCTTCCTCTCTGTAAAAAATCAATAAAATATATTTTAAAAAAATGAAAGTGAAATAAAAATATTTTTAGAAGGAGCAGAGAGAATTCATTGCTAGCAGACCTACACATTGTAGGGGTGAGTGCTGGATATGGTGGACATGTGGAGATGGCGGATATGCAGGTAAATACGAGAGATTTTGCTCTCAACATCTTAAAATATATTGTTGAGAGGAAAAACAACATTTTGCAGCTTGGAGCATGGTGGAAGTAAAAGTCTAACATTGGTAGTCAGGACTGAGAGGGAAGTAGAGGCAAGTCTTCCCTTAAATAAAGGGATACTGTGATGAGCATATTTATTGCTACTCTCTAGATTCACTAAAAAATTAAACAAAAAAGTATAACCAATAAGCCAATAGGAGAGGTAAAATAGAATCTTAAGAAATAATCCAGAAGTAGGCAGGAAAAGAGAAAAAGGTAACAAGATTAGATGGGACATAGAAAACTAGTAGCAATGTGGTAGATTTAAACCGACCACATAAGTCATTATGTTAAAATGTGGTCTGGTCCCTGCAGTGAAAACCAAGACTGTGAGCCTGGGCTGGGCGGGAAGCAGACCCAACCCCGAGGAAGGGGTGGGGTTGGAGAGATTCTGGCAGGAGCAGAGTTTTCATGGGAGCTGGTGGCTGCTATGGCTCTGGATGGCCATTTCCCAAAACCCCAAGTTGAGGGCCTTTCAATGAAGATCCTAAGTCCCAGTGCAGCTCAGAACTTGCTTTGTCTAACACACCTATGCTGTCTGTGGATGGCTGTTTCCCTCTGGATGGAAGGAGCCGCGGGCAGGGCTAGGGCTTGTTCTGTTCACTGCGTGTGCCAAGGGTTAGAGCTGTGCCTGGCTTTCAGAAGTGCTAGTATGTATTGGGTGACTAACCAGATTGTGAGTGGGACCCAGAGTCACAGAGTGTGATCAAGAAAGGTCCTCAGAGGCGAGCAAGGCAAACTCCTCCAGAGCCCATTTCACAGATGGGAAAACTGGGCCACATCACCACTTAGTGGCAGAACCGACTCCAGTTCTCAGGCTGCTGTTCAGTTTTCCTGGGGTCCATGGCAGAGAGGACTCTGTTGTCCAGAGCCTGAGGACCAGGGTTCCAGAACTCCTGTCCCTCTGCTCCCTGCTGCATGGACTCAGATAAGGTGTTCAGCCTTTCTGACTCAGTTTCCTAACATGTTACATGGCAGGAACAGGTGGTCAAAGCAAGCCTCTTTGGGGTGAGCTGGACTTTGTGGAAACACTTCGGAGGTCAGAGACAGTGGGAAGAAACTTACACGTGGTGACAGACACCTCCTTCCCAGACTGGCAGGGACTTTGTCTCCGAGAACAGGCGTGTGCAGGGCTGGGGCTGCTTTTTACAGGCTGCAGAGCACAAAAGAGGCTGAGGCTCACCGGGGGCTCGGGCCCTGGCTGCCTTCTCCCGCACCCTTGGGAGGCCCACACCCAGGCTGGGGTCCTTGGTGCCTGCAGGCTGGTTCTCTCCAAAAGTCTTCTGAGGGAGGCCAGTGGCTCTTTTCCCTCCCATCACCTTTGGCCCTGAGCCAAAAATAGTCCCTTCATCCACCTCTCATTGTAGGGTGGCTGTCGCTTTGTGTTCCTTACTTTCTGGCTGTCCCCAGATCCCCCACTAATCCAGGCGGCACCTTTTGGCCTGACACTTTGGGGCTGTGAGCAGCCCAGTGATTCACTGCCCGCCACCTCTGTGCCTGGACACCTCATGGCAAACCCACCCTGGCCCAGCAGCTTCAGCCCAGCTGCTGTAACAGACATCTGGAGACCAGGCCTGAACGGCCCCTGACTTACCGAGCTCACAGCGCCTGCCCTTGAACCCTGGGCTGCAGTCACAGCTGTGGGCATCCACGCCTGGCACGCAGGTGCCTCCGTTCTGACAGGGGTTTTCTGTACAGTTTCCAGGGGTGTCTGCAAACAGGTCATGAGTGGTTACTCTCTAGGACCCTAGAGGAAGGCCTGCTGGCATTGCCACATTGCTGCCTCTGGCTGTATCTAACACGGCTGTGCCCTAGGGGTGGTTTCGTTTCAGCTGGTCAGAGAGATGCTTGGCTCTGACCCCCTTACCTGAGGGCCAGGGTCCAAACAGTGGTGCTGCTGGGACCCTCAGTGCTGAGCCCTCCGTGGCAGAGGAGCCTCAAGCCACTGCTTAGATTATTATATTCAGGCACTGGTGGTCTCAGGAGAGACTCCAGCTTTGCCCTAGCCTGTGCTTCCACTCCCTTCTCTCTGGCTGCAGGACTGTGCTGGGGACAGTTTAGGCCCTGTGTAGCCCAGTGTTAGCAGGGGCCTTGCTGGCCTGTTCACCGAGCCTGGGTCTGCCAGGCAGTGCTCCAGCTGGACCATGCTCAATGCTGCCCCTCTATGGATTCCTGCCTTTCTGCTCAACATGTTCCTCTGAGGGAGGCAGTGGGAGTGGGGGAGCTGCCGTATGTGGTAAGGGTTGGGGCAGGGGTACATCCAGACAGATCTGGATAGTTGGTCTATAAAAGGACGGGGTGCTGAGTGCCTCCTTCCCAGGGTGGGTGCTCAGCCCGGGAAGTCCATTCCTGCTGACTTACTTCCCACGTCCTTGTCGCCATCATGTTTGGGGGGCTGCAGGGCCAGGCTGACCTGCTCAGGGGTGTCCTCGAGTTGCACCAGAGCTGTGGGTTCTAGGAGAAACCAGGATGAGCAGTGCTGACCACATGGCCTGCTGCCTCCCACCCAGGACTGTCCCTGGGCCGCCTTCCTGAGCTGCTTCCCTCCCTCAGGGTGTAGGGCCATCCTGTGTGGCAGGAGTAGGATGCTCGCTCACCTGCTGGCTCCCCGACTTGGGCACAGAATCCATGGCCTCTGGCACTGTCTCCAGTAAGACCTACTTTTCTCCAAGTGGGGCCAGCCCTCACCTCCTGCCAACCTCCACAGGGACCTGGCTTCCACTGCTGCCCCGGCCAAAGCTTCTCTGTGGAGGTTACCAGTGCCCGAGGCAGGGCTGAGCCTCCTGCTGACCTCCTGGCCTCAGCTTCTAAGTCTCCTTCAAACTCCATCTCCTCTGCCACCCCTGATTCTCAGGAGTGATGACACCTCCTCCCCCTTCATATCTGTGCTCAAGCAAACCGTACACTTGGCCACCCCTAACTGCAGGTCAGCTTCTCTGCAGGTCCCTGCCTGTGCCCTCCCCACTTCTGGTCACCAAGGGCTATGGATGCTCTGCCCTCACTCATCACTCCTGGTGCACCTGTCCCCTGACTAGGAACACTGTCATTGGTAGAAACTTCTCATTGGACTGGTGATCAGGCTCTCTGGCCAAGAACTCTGTGAAGGTGGGGTTCTGGCTTAGTAGTGAGGGTGAGGGTGAGGCCTGGGGATCCCCACCCAGAGTCTGAGGTCATCTGTGGGCCTGCCATGTCAGGATTTCGGGGGAGGCCTGCTTTGCCAGGAGGGAAGGGCCAGGGCTTCTCAATCTATTGCTCATGTCCTATGCTGCTGGGCCAGGCAGAGGCCCCACTAGTCTGGGCCAAGCAGGACATAAATCCAAAGGCTCTGCTTTTAACATGGAATATGACCTCAGTGTGATGAGGATGTGAGCTCCAGGGGCCACACTGTGCGTGCCAGTCACCTGGCTCCTTGTTAGCAGGTGGATTCCTCTGCAGCGGTCCAAGCAGGGCCCTGCATATTTAGGCTGGTGCTGTTGGTCCAGGGGCCTCTGTGAGTAGCAACAGCTCAGATGGAGCCATCCTCTCCTGTCTACTTACCAACAGTGATTGGAGTCCTGGCTTCACAAGCAAAGCTTCCATGTCTTGGACCTGCTTCTATTATGTTTATTTTTCATCCTCTCTCATGTGCCCTGCCAGCAACCTGCACCCTCAACCCACATGGCTGTATCAGGAAGGTTCCTCTGACTCTCGATGGCATGAGCAATTCATGCTGACCCCAGAGGCCGGGGCCGTGGGCACTGTCCAGCTGTGTGGGCATTGGGAGTCATCTTTGAGTTCAGGTTTAGGGGCCTCATCCCTCCTGTGCTGGGGTTGGGTGAGTAAGGTACTCACGTGATCTCACCATGACCGACTTGCCAGGTGAGCCACTGAACTTGGCACTCACTCGTCCTCTGCCGTCTACGAGCTCCGAGAACCTGCTGGAAGAGTCACTAGTGTCGCCATGTGGAGCACCATGCCTAGGGCCATGCCAGGTTATCCAGAGGGGGCTGATGGCAGAGGCGTGTACCTGGGGGCCTGCGTTGGCATTTCGAGGGCCCCACGGTCATTGAGTAGACGCAGCTCTGGCAGGCGCGCTGGGACCGGTCTGTTTCTGAGCACCCGTGGGGGGAGTCCTTCTCGGTGCCAGCGTCTGTTGGCGCCATCCCTTGGGGCTGCAGGTAGAGAGTGAGGGGGTGGGGGCACATAAAGCAGGTCTGGGGCTTCCCTTTGTCTCTTGTCGCCCCACTGCTCAGAGAGAACTAAAGGGACCTGACTGTCCCTGCGGTCCAATGGCACCTTTGTGGCTTTGTGAGAAGTCTAGACCCCACAGCCCACCTGAGGAGGAGCCACAGCATTCCTGCTGGGAAGCAGACACTGCCTGGCAGTGCTGAGGGGGGTTGGTCCTAGTCCCCCATCCTGGGCCCAGGTTCCCCACCTGTGGGGCAGGGCCAGGTACTCGACCTGGAGGGTCTTCCCTTGGCTGAGGCTGCCACCCCACACTTGCCCTGAGAATGACAGGGTGGTTTCTCTGTGGGTCCTTGTCATCTAGCTATATGCTTCAGCCCCCTGTAAGCCCCTCCTCCCTGGATTGGCTCATGGAGGTGGCCCCAACATGCCCTGGAGCTGAGCTGAGCTTGGTCAGTCTCGGAGCAGCCTGCCGTGCTCAGACACACCATCGTACACAGTACCTCTCGTGAGCTTTAAAGTATGAGCATGGCTAGGCAGAACCTCAGGGGATCCGAAGGGCCTCCAAGCACTTGGGGGCAGGCCCACATCCTTAGTGTGGCCCATTGGAGTCTCCGTGTTCCTGAGCTGTTTCCCTTTCTGTCCATCCACTCCAGCTCTCCTTCCTGCCTCTCCCCGCAACCCTTCCTATGGCTGTCCTGGCCTTTCTTTCCCCTGCTCCTGACCAGTGGCTCCTCTTGGGTCAGCCTGGCCCCTTTCCTGGACCCTCCCACACTGCCCACCTCACTGGGGTCCTACCACTGCCTTCTCTCAGCACCTATTTCTGGTGATTCCCTGTATTTACTGTTCAGCCTTTCGGGGTCCACAGAGTTGGACCACACAAGGTGAGGAGCGAAATGCTGCTTTTCCAAATTGCATTCTGCTGACCTAGTATCAACTGTCCACAAACCCTTTCTTCCCCACCGCTTTTCACACAAATTCACCCGTGCTGACACAGTCCTATTTCTAGGCTGTCCGATGTCCTTTGGACAGGGTGGCTATGCTAGGTGAGGGTCTTGGGGTACAGGTGGCCCATCCGGCCCTGTGCCCGCTGCCCTGCACTCACAGGTGATGATGTAGAGGTGAGCAGGCTCGCTGTGCAGCTGGTCACCCTCTGTGCTCTGCACGGCTGTCACTGAGAGCTGGTACCGCCGCCCGGGCACCAGGTCCCGTATCGTGTAGGACACCAGCCTCCCATTGGGGACGTAGCGGCTCTTGGTGCTCTGGCTGGTGGTCACATTGATGATGTATGCTTCCAAAGAGGTGCCTGGAGTGGGTGCATCCCAGACCACATGGGCAGAGGTGGCCGTGACTCGGGTGGCAGTCAGGTTTGCTGGCGGCAGAGGCCCTGGAAGAGGCATAGAGCAGGGGAGGGAGGTGAAGGGGGCTGATGGGGTCTTGTGCCCAGGACACAGTTTAAAGGTCTTACATGGACTGCAGAAACCACATTTGAAGCCAGATTTAGTTACTGTGGTCTTGAAGGATGGGAGTGGTGGTCTGTAGCACCCTCCTCCTGTCCTGAGACCCTCCCCCACAATGTGGCCCTCCAGCACCCAGCAAGTGTCCCCCTCCTGCTCAGTGTCCCCTCCCATGTAGCACTTCTGACTGTCGTGAGCCTGGCCACACCCCTCCCCCTGGGACATATAAAAGGGGAGTGGGTCCCAGCTTCAGGGTCAGAGCGAGGATTTAAGCCTGTACTGACTCCTTGCCCAACCTGGTCAGGCCCTGCTCACATCTTCCCTCTCACCAAGCCACTTGTTCCCCTACCCCCACCCTCCAGCTTGTTCACAGGTTCACCATTGACAGCACAGTGCTCAGTGTCCACTCCCCATGAGACACCATGGAGCTCAGCGAGTGGGCTCCCTCGCCCGCAGTCCCTCTGGCCTTGTGCTCACGAGCCGCTGGGTGTGGGGGCCAGCCCAGCAGGAGGGTGTGATACTGCCGGGCACACTGCCATGTCCCGTACACGCAGGCCAGGGCTGGGGTCCTAGTGTCTTAGCCACTATGGCGAGTACTGGTGGGCTGGAAGGAGCCGAGGGCTTCCGAAGGCTCTGCTCGCCATGAGCGTCCACACTGTGTACTCACGGGTCCACACGTGCAATGGAGCGGAGGCCATGCTCTCAGTAGGGCGCTCCAGTGCCCCGAGCCCACTGAGGGCGGTCACTTGGACGGTGTACCTCCTTCCAGGAAGTAGGGTACTGTGGGGAGAGAGGACAGGATGGTCTTGGGCTATGTGTCCGGCTCTGTGGCCAGACTGCATGTGGCTCTTTCGGAGCAGGGGGTTAGGCTGTGGACAGTCTCTAGTTGGTGGCCCAGGCGGCCTCCAGGAGGGCAGATTTGTGGTCTGAGACCTGGGTGCTCGTTGGTGGGAAGCTGCTCCCTGTCTGTCCAGTTCAGAGTCCGAGAAGGCACAGGCCTGTGTAGAGTGCTCGGCAAGGCCAGGAGGCTGGTGTTCAGACAAGTAAGGGGCCCGTGGCTGGAATTCCCAGGTGGGTCCCCAGTCCCTCACAAACACGAGGGCCTCGCTGAGCCTAACGTTTGTGCAAAGTGTGGTTCACCCAGAGCTGTCACCTCCTCCTGGGAGCCTGGACTCTTCCCCAGGACCAGCAGGGGGCGCCTGTGACCAGCCCCAATAACCCTGGGCACTGTGTATCTGACTGTCCTCACATGTATTGTCACAACTGGTGGCGGGGAATGAAGCGTGTCCTGTGTGGCTCGATGGGGAGGGGGCTCTGGGACCTCATGCCTGGACCCCAACCTCTCCCCATAGGCCTCTTCCCATTTGTGTGCTCATCGCGTTTCTGTCACAGATTCAGCTGTACATGCTGCCTCGGTTGAGTAATGAAAATCCTCCCAGCAAGAGTGGGAGGGGTCTTGGGGACCCCAACAGACACCAAGTGTCCCTGGGGCCACAGGTGTTGTTTCTGTCGTATCATTCTTTGAAAGTGGGGCAGGACATCAATCAAGAAAAGTGACAGCAACACTTAAAGCAGAGTCTTGTCTCCAGCACAGGTGACCATCTGGTGGGAGACCAACATGACTGGAAAAAGATGGGTCTTGATGAGGCTGCAGACTGATCTTAAACAATTCGGATAGGTTAGTAGGGGTGTCGAACTCAATCAGAGAAGGGGCCAAAATCTAAAATCCAGCCTAAATTGCGGGCCGAATAAACTGTCATTGTGATGGAAACGCAGCGGAGTGCAGTGATGACAGCGCGGTGCGGGCCACATTGCAAGGCCTGGCGGGACGGATTTGGCCCGCGGGCCTTGTGTTTGACACATGTGGGTTAGAGGATGCCCAAGTACAGAGCCCCTTGACCCCTAACTGCTCTGGGCTGCACGCTGCTGTGCTGTTCCCATGAGCAGCCTGACATCTGTTGGCAAGCACAGTAACTGGATGGGAATTTCCTCCGCTGGAGCTGTGTTTACTCGGCAGGCCCCCGAATCCAGGGCCGAGGCCACCCCTCCCCAGGACGCTACCAGCCAGTCCCCCTTCCTCACTCTCTCATCGGTTAGCACTGTCTGCCTGCCCAACCTGACCCCGGGTGGCCTGGAGTCTGAGACCCTGTATGGGTCGTTAAAGTGGTGATTTCGATAGCTATTTTGAATGAGTTGTGTTTGTCATTAATTTGTAATAATTGGGCATAAGAAGTTTATATGCCTAGGTTAAGCTTTGAAGGTATCATTTGCCTGTTTTTTCCTCCTCTCAGAGAGGTCTGGTGACTCAGGCTGGAGGAGCTCTGCGTGACCGGCTGGTCTCCAGGTAGCGAGTCTGCCTCACTCCCTTGCAGGAGATACAGCCTCCAGGCTTTCAGGGTGTCTCTGCTCTTTTGGGACACGTAACCCCTTGTCTGGCATCCCTATAAGGAAGTACTGCAGGAGTGAGCCCAGGCTGAATGTCGCTGGGCCCTGTGTGGGCCACCAGGTGCCAGGTGGACACAGGAGGCACACACCTACCCCTCAGGTGGGCAAGGCCAGTGCCAACCATAGGGGAGCTGGAAGGAGGAGAGGAGGCCGGCCTGAGCTCTTACCCGAACGTGAACGTGTCCACACTTTTGTCCACATCGGTGGACTGGTCCTCTTGGGCCTCAGGATGGCGGATGGACACACGGACACTGCTGACAGTGGCATGTCGTATCCTATGTAGAGCCCACCGCACGGAGATGGCGCTGGCCGTCACATTGGTGACCTCAAGGCCTTCGACAGGGCGGGGGCCTGGGAGACAAAGGGTTGCTCAGCTTTGTCAGCACCTCCTTACCCCTGGGAAAGCAGGAGCTCAAAACAACAGAAGAAGCTCCAGAAGGTGCTGGGGCGGGGGCGGGAGGGATGTCACAGAAAGGCGCCCAGTAAGGCAGCAGCCAGCCTGGGCTTGCTCAGTGCATCCCTCAGCCACAGTGGGAACTCCGTCAGGTGGGCCTGCCCCAGGTTCCGGCCCTGGCAGGCTGCGGAGGGCCAGCCAGCTCTACCAGAGGCTAGCGGGTAGGTGCAGGGCCCTTCCTGACAACCCCTTGTCTTTACTGATGTAATCATTGGGGCGGTGCTGGGGCCTGTCGGTGATAGAAGCCAGGAGAGTCCTCTGACCCAGAGAAGGGGCTGGGTACGGGCCAAACCCTAGACCAGGGGAGCAGACGGGGGTGCTGGAGCAGCAGTCAGTGGGCAGTGATCCTCCCACCCACCCTGGTGTCCTGGTGGAGAACCCATTCTGACAAGAAGGGGAGGCCACCTTTCTCCCAGATGCCTTTTCTGGGCAGACCCCTTCTCGAGCAGCCTTGAAAGTACTTCCTCCTAAAGCCAAACTCAGGACGATCCCTATTCTCCCCAGGACTCCCATGCTGCCACACGTCCAGGGCCCTGCTGTCCTTTCCCACCACACGCCTATCCTGACTCCTGTCTGTCCCTCAGTGCCCGGTGAGGGCTGGCACATTGCCCCAGGATGCCTTTCTTCTCCCTTCCCTGGGACCTTGCCTCCCAATACCTGGTGTGGTGGGAGCTCTGTACTGCCCAGGGCTGCACCCCCCCCCCCCCCCCCGTCCACCTCCTTCCCCCAGCACCCCTTCCCCTGGTTATACCCCCCTCCCCAGTGCTCCCCACCATCCCTAGTAGCTCCCACCCCACCCGTGCCACTGCCCTTCCCCCATGACAGTCCCTCCTCCCCACATCCCTCCACCAGCCTGGCTCCCTAACCCTGCCAGTCTCCGTCAGCCTGTCTCTGGCCTGTGCCTGGGGTAGGCCACGCTGGGGCGACTCACGCGTGCGGGTAAGCAGCACCAGGGGCCTGCTGATATCGTTCCTATTGTTAGCGTGGCGCTTGACGGAGAAGATGGAGATGTTGTAGGCCCTGCCGGCCCCCAGGGCTCGGAGCTGGTGGGAGGAGCGGCTCTGGTCCACGAAGTCGGTGCGGCGGAAGGAGCCGTCAGCGGAGGCGTAGGTGACCGCATACCCATCCAGCATCTGCCTGGCAGCCTGGCCTTCGGGTGGGTGCCAGGAGATGGTGACCTCACTTTCCTCCACTTGGTCCACCTTGAGGGCCGTTGGTGGGAAGAGCTCTTCAGGGTTTCGGTCAAGAACAAGGGAAGGGGGGCGGTCAGCTGTCGGCCATCACAGCCCCGGACCCCAAGCAGGTGCCCAGCCTGGTGGCTCTGGGGCCTGGCTACCCTGGGACAGATGTGGGCACTGCTGGCAGGGAAGCCACTCCTGGCACCTGCAGGGGATGCTGTCATTTTGGTTTGTGGCTATTGCTCCTGAGATAGGCTCCTGCACACACATGACCGCACTTAAGCCTCCTGGAAGGCCTCATGCGCACACGTGACTATTCATGCCACCTTCGACTTATGCGCCCCTCCTTCCTTGGTAGAAGCAGCTGTTCAGATGCTCTGCCCTGGGGTGGAGGGGGAGCCTCGACCCTTTGGCATGTCCTTTGGGATGTCTACTGCCCGCCGAGTGAGGAATAGAGGCCCCACCACCTCATTCTGGTGCCCTTATGCCTCACCTTTGGCGCAGTCCTTGCCTGTGTAGCCCACTTTGCAGGTACAGCTGTGGGACCCATTGCTGGCCAGGCAGTAGCCACGACCCCCACAGGGGCTGGAGAAACAGGGATCACTCACTGGAGGAGGGAGAAAAGTGGCATTGAGCTCTGGGGTGTCGCCAGGCCCCCCTCTGGCCTGGGCCTTGCTCTTGGGGGACTTGGCTCTTCCTGTATGGGTGTGTTTTTGGTGGAGATGAGAGTACTATCAGGCAGCTTTTAGGGGGTGGAGCAGGAGAAGGGACACTCCAGGATGTGAGGTCAGAGCTCCTCAGAGGTTGGGCAGGTGTGGCCTTCTGACGCTGAGCCAGGCCATCTTCCCACCACCCCAAGCCAAGGTGCTCTGGCAGGCAGTGTCGTGTGGTGGGTGAGCACAGTGCTAGCCCTTCCACGGCCTCCCTCTGCACTGCGGCTGCAGCTACCCTTGTGGACTTGAATCCCCACCCAGAGCAGGGCCCACAGGCTCCCAGCATGGCCACGGAAAATACTTGCAAACAGCAGCGAGTCCCTGATCACTCTCTCAGCTGCTGCCCTGCCTCTGGGCCCCTGTCTACCCGACATCATTTTGCTTGTCCCTAGGCAGGCTCCTGTGTCTGCAGTCCTGTCACAGGCCTCCCCCTGGAAGCCCCATCCACCCTGCACAGCTAAGTGCTGCCCGCCAGGCCCGGCCCATAAGCAGGTCAGCCTTCCCCACGGACACATCTGTTCCAGGAGAGTGGTGTGACTGCAGTAGAGGAGATGCAGATGAGACAACCCCAGGGAGCAGGGAGTGCGGGGGGCACGACCCGTTAGAAGTCAGGGAATGCCTGGTCTGGGAGAGACCTGTCCCAGGGGGAGACTATTCCAGGTGTAGGAACGGGGGTGCCCAGACCCGGGGCTGGAAAGGGACAGCAGGGGAGGTGGGGGAGCTTGGAAGGAGCCAGAGGAGGATCGTCGGGCCATGCCCCACCTGTCTCACAGTGATAGCCGAAGAAACCCTCTGGGCAGACACACAGGTAGGCCCCGCCACCGTTCTTGCACTGGCCTCCATGCTGGCAGGGGCTGGAGTCGCAGGCATCCACCTCTGGAGAACACCCAAAGAGTGGGCCCGAGCGGCAAAGGGGTGTCTGGGGGAGGGAGGAGAGGACAGCGGGAAGAAGGGAAAGGGCGGCGTGGACGAGCCGGGGGTGGAAGTCTCTCTCATCCTTGGTGGGTACCCAGCTCTCCCTTCACCCCTAGGATCCTGCCTGCCAGGGAATCTGTCCAGCAGGGCCAGAGTGGCTGCCCCCTCCCCTCTGCTCTGAGTGGCCCAAGGTCTGGGCTTTCAGAAAGCAGTTTTGCCTGGGTGTCTGGGGCATCACAAGTGTGGGTGAGGGCCTGGGCACAAGGGGACTCACCCAAGCATAGCCCCTACCTGTCTCGCAGTGGACTCCAGTGAAGCCTGCGGGGCACTGGCACACAAAGGCTCCTGGGAGGTCCCTACAGGAGCCTCCGTTTCTGCAGGGCTGCGCCTGGCACTCATCTGTGTCTGAAAAGACAGGACATGGGGCTGCATGGCCTACATGGCCCCACATGGACCTAATGGGCCTATAAGGACCCCCCCCCCATGGTCTTATATGGGCTTACATGGGCCTACATGGACTTACATAACCTCCAGGGTTCTGTGCTCAGCCTGAGGCTTCTGCCTCACTCCTGCTCTCTTCACTGCGTGCCCCACAAAGCCGCCACCCCAAGCTACTCCCAAATTTATTGTCCAGGCTAGACATCCTGGGCCTGGCCTCGCCTGGGTGGTGTCCCTGTCTCAAGGCTTAGAGCCCCACCCAGATGTAAGGAGTGCAGGGCTCGTGCAGCGGGCACCTGGCAGGCCCCCACTCCCTCCACCAGCTTGGAGCACTGGCCAGGTATCAGGGCTGTGACCTGCCCTCTCTGAACCCCATCTTGTCTGCCCCTGAAGCCAGTCTGCAGGAGCAAGAGAAGACAATCAGTGTTTCTCAGCCAAGCTCCCAATCCCCCCAGATAGGTGGAGGCAGAGCTGGCAGGGGCCTGAGTGTGTAGCCAGGCAGACACCAGCCAGGGTGAAGAGGGGTCAGGGCAGGCCCTGGTCAGGCTGCGGAGCTGCTGCCCGTGGTGAGGGCCAGGCTGTCTTACCCAGCTCACAGTGGGCTCCTTCATGTCCTGGGCTGCAGACACACAGGTACCCGGCGACTCGATCCTGGCAGGAGCCCCCGTGCAGGCATGGCTGGGATCTGCACTCGTCAATTTCTGGGAGGGTGGAGTGCCCAGGTGCACGGGTGCCAGGAGAGATCCAAGAATAAAGCAATGTTGCCGTCATTAGAGGTAATGGCTTGAAGCCAAATTAAGATGCATATAAATGAGTTTTGTTCTGAGAGACACTGTGGAATTCAATTTCCGAGCTCAGGTGGACGGGCCCAATTCAATTAATAACAGTCATGTACGAAAACAATGCAATGGGGTTGAGTCCTTTGTTTTAACATGTTCACCCTGTGTGTTTCTTAAACTGGGAGTTGTGCTACTGAATTCAACATGTTCAATTTAGAAAAGTTTAATTTGAATGCTTAACAACATGTGAGTAAATAGATGGTAATGATATAATGACTCCTGGAGCTGCACTCAACCTGGGCAGCAGAATGCTGAGGGGCTCATCAGGTCATGTGCACATCCCCACCCCAGATGACACAAATTTCTGTGGCTTTCATTTCTGTGCCTGTTTAAATTTAAATTTTTATGATTTGCCTAACCAATACTGTACATGGGTTTGCTTTGGCTATTTATGGACTTTATCAACAGTATATGTACTCTTCTCTATCCACGCTACATTAATAAGACATCTCCATGTTGCTGTGGGTCTCTGTGGGACCCCCTTTTCATGGCTGTATAATATTCCACAGTGTGATTATACTATACTTCACCCATCCTTGTTTTGTGCACACTTGGGCTGGTCCTAGACTTTTTACTATTGCAAAACCAGTGTTTCTGTGTCTGCTTCTCCATCTACTGCTTGTGGATGTGCACCGAGAAGTGGAGTTGCTAGGATACAACTTATATGAACAGCTCAATAGACAGATTAACAAGTGGTATTCAAAGTGCTTAAACAATTTGCACTTCCTCCAGCAGTTTTCTCACAAATCCTATGGATCCACATCATCACCAACACATAGGCCTCTTCAACTCCAGAAGTTTGGCCAACTGCATGCATCTCGGCATGCTTTTGATTGGCATATGGGTGGTTGCTGCATTCTTTACTTTCACTGGTTCTGTGTACCTCCTTCTCCATGAAATACCCGTTTGTGAGTTTTGCTGATTTTCCTGTTGGGTTGATTATTCTTTTCTTATTGATTCATAGAGTTCTTCATATATTCTTGAAACCAGTTTATACTTTATATTTCACTTTTTTCTTTAAGTTCCTAATTTTCATAGTCAATTTGCCCATTTTTCCCCTTTTATAGTTAGTGCTTTATTTTTCTGGCTTATGGAATCTTTTCTTACCCCAAGGCCAAAAAAATATTTACCTATATTTCCCACACAAATATACACTGAGTGGCCAGATTATTATGATCTCTAAAAGCATAATAATCTGGCCACTCAGAGTATATCCTATATAATAAAAGGCTAATATGCAAATTGTCCCCTTAACCAGGAGTTCGATCAGCAGGCAGGCCAGCCAACCCCTCATGTTCCCTCCCCCTGTCCAGGCTGACCAGACCCCATGCACTGGGCCTCTAATACACACACACACACACACACACACACACACACACACACACACACACTCTGAGTGGCCAGATTATTATGCATTCAGAGATCATAATAATCTGGCCACTCAGTGTATATAGTTTTAAAAAATTTTAATCCTTAATCCATCTGGAATTGATTGTTGTGTATGGTGAGAAGTGGGAAACCAATGTAATATTTCTCAAAGTGCATGGAAATTTTATTTCTGCCGTGGTGAAGATTTTCTCATCCTTTTTAAAGAAGTTTATAGCCCAAGCTGAGATAGTTCAGTGGATAGAGGATAGGCCTGTAGACTGAAAGGTCCAGGTTGTGGGCTCAATACCCAGTAGGGGAGTGTGCAGGAGGCAGCCAATCAATGATTCTCTCACATCATTGATGTTTCTCTCTCTCCCCTTTCCTCTTTGAAACCAATAAAAATATATTTAAAAAAAGAAAGTTTATAATTTTGGCCTTTATATGTATGCTATAATGAATTTCACACATAAAAATTTATCATGATGTTGATACCATTTTACATCATTTTGTTTCACTTCATTTCCCACGTGTTCACTGCTAGAATATGAAAATACAACTGGTTCTGTATGTTGACTCTGAATCCTGTGATCTAGTTAAATTAACTTATTAGTTCTTTTGTAGAATTGCCTTAGCATTTTCTATGTTCACTATTCTGTCATCTTCACTGCTTCTTTTCCAGTAGATACATCCTTAGTTCCTCTTGTCCATGGCCCTGTCTGGGGTCTCCAGGACCACATTGGGAGGAGTTGGTGAGATGGACACCTTTGCTTCAATACTGTTATGGCAGGAAGCCAGTCATCATTAAGTATATTATTGGCTGTTGAGTTTTTCATGGGTTCCCTTCATCAGGTTGAAGAAATGCTCTTCTACTCTTAGTTTTCTGCCTCTATTGAGGTGATCATATGGTTTCCTCCTTTATCTCCTAATATGGTGTATTACATTGATTGATTTCCAGATGTTAAACCAGCCTGTGCTCTAGAGATAAATCTTCACTTGGTCATGATGGTTTTACTTTTTATGTAGTACTGAGTTTAATTTAGTAACACATTGTTAGGATTTTTGTATGTATGTCATGAGAATGTTATCTATAATTCATTTTTTTGTAATGTCTCTGTCTTGTTTTGGTATCACAGAAATACTGGTCTCATAAAATAAGTAGAGAAATACTCTTTCCCCTGTGTTTTCTAAGAGCTTGTATACGGTATAATTCCTTTCTTAGATGCTTGATAAAATTCACCAGTGTTATGAAAATCTGGTCCTGATATTTTATTTGCAGGAAGGTTTTTCATTCCAAATAAAATTTAATAGATATAGGGATATTCATATTTTCTAGTTTTCCTTCTGCCAGTTCTGGTAATTTGAGTCTTTCAAGGTATTCATCAATTTTATCTAGATTGTCGAATATATTGGCCTAAAGTGACAATCCCCCTGTTGTCCTTTAAACATTGGTGGGGTCATTAGTGATGTCTCTTCTTTCATTCAAATATTGCCAATTTTTCTTTATTTTTCTTGATCAGTCTAGATAGAGGTTATCTATTTCATTGGCCTTTTTCAAGGAACCAGATTTTGGTTTCATGGATTTCTCTCTCTATATATGTTTTTTATAATTAAATTCTCTAAATGTTTATTTATTTATATACTAGAGACCTGATGCATGAAATTTGTGCAAGGAGTTCAGTCCTCATAGTCTGGAAAGTTGTTGGGCTGTTCGGTCTAATTAGCATATTATGATTTTATTATTATAGATTTTTTTCTGAATGTTTTTGAAATATAAAAATGCAACTAATTTTGTTATAATCACCCATATCTACTAAATATGTTGTATTTTCTATCATATTTTAGTAGTTTATAGATTAAACACAACTGTATCATCTAAAAATACTGACATTTTTACATCCTCCTTTAGCATTTTCATAAAATTAATTTTTTTCTTTATTGCATTGACTAGCATAACCAATATAAGTCTGGTTAGACTTAGTGGTAATGGGCATCCTTCTCTTGTTTCCAGTTTTGAGGGGTATGCTTCTCTATCTAAGATAATGTTTATTCTAGGTTTAAGAAGTGGCATAAGTAAAATCGCCTCAGACGCTAATTTTCTTCCCCTGTTGGTGGCTCAGCCTGTCCAGTCAATTCAGCAGAAGAACTGCTTTTGAATTCCAGATTAATCTCCTGTATAACAAGGATCGGTACGTGCCCTGGAGTGGGAATTGAACCCTTGGCCTTTTGGTGTGCAGGCTGACACTCTAACCCACATGTGTCAAACACAAGGCCCGGGGGCCAAATCCGTCCCGCCAGGCCTTGCAATGTGGCCCGCACCGCGCTGTCATCACTGCACTCCGCTGCGTTTCCATCACAATGACAGTTTATGACTGTTCAGTAAACCATTCGGCCCGCAATTTAGGCTGGATTTTAGATTTTGGCCCCTTCTCTGATTGAGTTCGACACCCCTACTCTAACCACTGAGAACACTGGCCAGGACTCATTACTATTTTTGAGATGGTTGTACTTCTCTGGGGTCTTTGCTGAGTGCTCACATTCCCTGGGGCACTGACTCCTCCCCTGACAGCACACTGGGGAGAGCGACGGGTGTCTCTAGCCAGTTCCCTCCAGCTGGGGGCTAGGAAGGACCGAATGGAGTAAAGGAAAGCTGCCCGAGGCTCGCATTGCCCACCTGTCTTCCAGAGCTCTTCCCCTGAGCTCTGGGCACGGATGGGCTTTGCAGGACATTTGGGAGACAGAAATGCATTGTGAGCCCCACCCATCTCTGGATGCTGTCACTGTCCCTACACTAATTTGTCTTTGTTTCATGAAAAATGTGTAAACATCACACAGATTTTCTGATGAACAATTTGGAATGCTTTGGTTCAACGCAATAACCCTGCAGTTGTGTTAGCAGCCCCGTGACCCCACGGGCATCGTCAAAGGGTGCCCTGGCTCCAGACCACGCAGCAGCACTGTGGGAGCCTGGATGATGTCCCCTAGAGCAGCACGCCTCAACATGTGGGGGCCTCCAGGGCTTGGTCAGTGGGGGGTCTGATTCCACAGGTCTGGGAAGGGCCTAGAGCAGGAGGTGGTGCGGCCTGAATCTGATCTATTTCTTTGGGACTCTGCCCTTGGGCTCCCATCAGCTGCTCCATCTGCAGAGTCTGGGCTGCTCTGAGGACAGGGAGCCCTTAGAGGATGGTCAGGAGTGGAACTGCACTGGCCATCCCACCCTCACCACTGGGCTATACTACCTCAATTCTGGAGGAGAACAAAGGGAGGAGGGGCAGAGCGGGCCAGAACTGCACACCTGGGCTCCTCCATGAAGGCATGGCCTCACTGGTTCTGCCCACCCACCTGCCCCACCCCAGAGAGCCCACAGATCACCATGGCATTGGGGAGGCTCACTCCAGACACCCTGCAGCTGGCAGACCCAGATGGAATTAGGGGCGCTCAGAGCCTTGGTCCCATGAGTACCATGCCATTGAGCCTAGCTGTGTGCCGTTGAAGCGCCACATGGCATGCATGATCTCCTAGAGGGTGCAGGGCACCTGCCCAGCCCCACTACTCTGCCCACCAGGCCACAGAGCTCGGAACCCCTGCTCCCCGCACAGCCTGCCTTGACCATCAGGATAAGCTGCCCAGAGGTTTCCTTCCTTCCCTTCTGTTTCCTCCACCCTCTGCACACTATCCTTTGCTCTTCCAGGATTAGGAAGAACTCCTTTGCCCCCACCCCAGGCCCCCAGCCTTCTCACCCGCCTGGCACCGGCGTCCTGTGTAGCCAGCTTGGCAGCGGCAGGAGAAGTCTGTGCCCAGGTCCTCGCAGGTACCCCCATTCACACAGGGGCTCCGGAAGCAGGGGGAGGGGGCTGTAAGGTCACAGGGGCCACTATTACCATCACTTCCCCCCACTGGCTCCTGGGCTGCACAGAGATGTCCCTTCTGTGCTGCTCTGCCTATCCCCCCCACCCCCGCCTTGGCCAGCCATGAGGGATGTGTTTTCTGTCTCTAGCTGGCCTGCATCCACCTTACCTATCTCACAGTGCCGCCCAGAGAAGCCTGGGGGACAGTCACACTTGTATTTGCCGATGTAGTGGAAGCAGGTGCCACCATTGTGACAGGGGCCGGAGGCGCATGAGTCTGGCTTCCCTGGGAGCAGAGGGCACTGTTGGGGTCAGGTGCCATATACCCACCACCTCTGCCCCTTCCCTGGTCCCCAGATGTCCCAAAGCAGATGTGGTGGTGGGTTGGGGGTGGTTCCCACCCCCATTCCTAGCCGATCCCAGCCGGCAAGGGCCGCACCGATCTCACAGTGCCTCCCGGTGAAGCGGTAAGGGCAGTTGCAATGGTACTCGCCGCCTGCTTCCTTGCAGGTGCCCCCGTTCCGGCAGGGGCCTGAGCTGCACAGGCGTGGCCGGACTGTGGAAGGAAGGCAGAGAGAGGGAGGCAGGTAAACAAGGGCTCACAACACCCCACCCATGTCTTCTCAGTCCTCAGGCCCTGGCCTGCTTCTCAGCCCCAAGTGTGACTGTCCCCCTGGCAGCAGCAGGGGCCAAGCCAGTCTGTAGATTCCCTCTCCACCGCGGGACCTCTGCCCCAGGCCTTTCAAACTGCATGGAGGGGACCATCCAGGGTGGACGCTGGTCAGTAGTTAGGGAAGAACAGTTACACTCTCAAGTGGCTGTGTAGTTGACATTCTCTAAGTTGGATTAGATTTAACAAAATCCTAATGAATGTCCCTCAAATCAATGATTCTAAAAGCAGGAAACAAGCCTATTCTGAGGAAAGCAGTGATGACCAGGAGGACACAGACCAGATCCAGGAACCCCTGAACCATTGGAAGGGGAGCCGCAGGCCCATGGGGCCAGGTGCCCAGGACGACCAATGCCCTGACAGATACCCTCGGGGAGGGGGAGGAGCCAGGCCACTGGCGCTGTCCGGGGTGCTGACACCCACCTTTCTCACAGTGCCTGCCATGGAACCCACGTGGGCACTCGCATGTGTAGGAGTCGTCCTGGGCCTCACAGGAGCCTCCGTTGAAGCAGGGGTCGGAGTCACAGGGTGAGGGCAGTGCTGTGGGGTCAGAGGGCAGCCCTGTTGCATTCTGGGCAAGAGGCTGGCAAGGCTACCCTGACACCCTGGCTGGGACCAAGGCCCCTAAAATATTATATACGTTGCTGGGTCTTGATTCCTCATTCAGCCTCGAAAGCCCCTCGCTGGAATTTCTTTTATCCTCGATTTTCCCAGAATTCAGCCTCCCTCTTCTAGGAGCTGGGATTGAGCTCACCAACACCATCATCACACATTGTGGTGGGGGTGGTGGGGTTTAATCACGTGCTGCATTAGGCACCTGTTGACATGTTAGCAGCTAAGCTAGAGGCTTGGGAAGACGCTGCATGGCATCTGTATGTGGTCAGGTGCCCTTTGGCTGTCAGCCTGCTGCAGGGAAGATGGTGTTAGAGGTCTGCCGACTGGGTGGTGGTGCACCCACAGGTCCTCTGGTGCGCTGCAGGGAAGCCACCGCTTTCCTCCCAACCCTTCCCCCTCCCCCCGTTTGTGGGCGCCAACCCAGCCTTCAGGCCTGTCCATGCCCTCCACCCCTCTCACAGTGGCTGATGTTGTGGTCAGTGTGGCAGACGCACAGGTAGCTCCCGCTGTACTCCATGCAGTAGCCGCCATCGGGGCACTGGGTGTTCATGTTGCAGGGCGTGGCTGTGACTTCTGCGGGGGGAGGAAGAAGCCCTATCGCAGGTCTTCCTAGGGACCTGGTGTTCTTAACAAGGGCGGGGCAGTGCAAGACCCCGTGACCCCACCAGGGAGACCAGGTTCAGGCACTTTTATTGCCAGCTCCCTCCTGGGGTGGTGGTGGTGGTAGGGTCACAGAAACACAGGTGGAGGGTCTGGCCTTGTGGATCCTGGTCCTGGCTGAAGCCGCCTTCAAACTCTGGTTTGGAGGATAGTCAGGGACAGGCAAGGTGTCCCTGGCTCAACTCTGGGTACCTACCAAATTCGCAGAGGAGCCCAAAGAAGCCCAGGGGGCACTGGCAGAGGGTGGTATTGCCCGCGAGACATCTGCCGCCATTTCGGCACTCACAGTCATCAGGGGTTCCTGCCATGGAGAGAGGAAGGAGCCTCCGATGTGGGGGTGCTAGAGGGCGCAGCCCTTTCCTGACCCTGCCCTGCTCCTGGAGACCTTTCCGTAAGAGCTGCCGTGTATACCCCCACACGCTCACACATTCTCTATCCTGCTGTTTGCATGCACACCCCACGGGAGGCCCCAGCCCGGCCGCACGCACTGTCCCTGCAGTCGAGGCCCATGAAGCCTTCGGGGCACTCGCACACATAGCCCTCATCTGCGTCGACACAGGTGCCCCCGTTCTGGCAAGGGGCCGAGAGGCATGGGTCAGGCACTGGCTGGCTTCCTGCAAGAAAGACAGTGGTCACCAGAGCAGCAGCACACATTGGGGTTTCAATCTCTGTTCCCAGTGCCAAACACAGTTTAAGCCCGAGGCTTATTTCCTAGGAGCTAATTTCCAGCTGCCCCTTCCCCGAGAGCCCCTCTTTGGAGCAGAATGAGAAGCAAGGGTAAGAAGGGCCCACAGTGGGCACCAAAGGCCTCCAAATGGTTCTGCTTGAGCATCTCTTAATAAATAAAATACTGGGATTTTCCTGATACCTTTCTGATGTTGATTCTAGTTTAATTTTGCTGTGGTCAGAGAACACAATCCCTTTGAATTTATTGAGCCTCATTTTATGGTGGCAGGATGGTCCGTCATGGTGAGTGCTCCCTGAGCACTGAGAAGAATGTGCGTCTGGATGCCCATCAGGCCAGGCGCCCGATAGTGCTGGGCAGGACCATCCTTGTCAACTTCGTCCCCGTGTCCTGAGCTGCCGGTGTGTTCTGACCTCTCCACTGACAATGATCTGTTTCTCCTAGTGGTTCTGTTAGCTTCTGCTTCATGTATCTTGATTCTTATTAATAGTATATTTAAAATTGTTGATTCTCTTGGCAGTTTCTCTCCCTGCCATTATGATAGGTTTCTCTTTTGTCCCTGGCGGGTTTCTCGTACTACAGAGAAGCCAGGCCAGATTCCCGGGATGAGTAATGGCCAACCCCTTCCTCTACATTTCTTCCATGTTCAGTTTCTTCAGATAGTTTCAGGATTGATGGTTAAGTTAATCCATAGTAAAGCTGACTTTCGCTGGCAGTGTACTTCCCTGAGTTGTAACTGGTGTAGATCTGTGTGGCCACGACACCCCGTCCACGCTTTTCAGGGTCACAGATGTGCCCGGTCCACCCCACATGCAACGGAAGGACCTGGCAATGCTTTATTCCCTTCACTCAGAGGTCAGTAAACTGTGGCCCACAGGGTTTCCCTCGCCTGGTACGGGGTCCGGGGCACAGGCGGTATGTTAAAAAGTCAGTGCTCTCCCTGACAGGGGTCACCCATGCCTGCATGTAATCAGGAGACCAGGCCAAGAGGAGAACTGATTTGCTCGGTCTCTCACAGCACGTGGGTGGCGCAGCCAAGACCAGTTTCCCCGCAGAGACTTGGGACAGGCCAGTGTAGGGGACAGGCCAATGTAGGGGACAGGGGTGGGGCTAAGCCACATGGTGATGGGAAGAGGCCAGTGACCCCGAAAGCACTATCACCTTTGGGGGGTTACATGGCCATTACCTGCCTCACAGCGTGGTCCCTCGAAGGGCCCTGTGCACAGACAGGTGAAGTTCCCCACAAGGTCGACACATGAGGCTCCGTTCAGGCAGGGGCTGGAGCCGCATTCGTCCACGTCTGTGGGGAGCGGAGATAGGAGCTGGGCTTCCAGCCAGTCTTTGACCACAGCTCCACATTTAGTCAGGAGTAGCCCCTCCCTTCCTGGCCCTGCCCCACCCCTCTCTGGCCCAGTCCCCCTCGTCTCCCTCCTCCCCACCTTCCCGGAGTGCGGGCCACTCACCTGTCTCACAGGTGTTGCCCGTGTAGCCCACTGGGCACTCGCACACCGCGGAGCCGCTGACCACCTGGCACCGGCCGCCATTCACACACCCTTTGGTGTCACATGGAGATTGTGCTACAGGTGCAGAGGGTGGAAGGCCGTTGGAGTCCTGGCTGCAGTGCCCCTGGGGCCTGTCAGATGGTGGGGGTCCTGACCAGGGCATTCCTCATCCCCCGGCTGCTGAGAGCTCATCTGCTGAAGGCTGCTGAATAGAGTTTCTTCCAGCAGAAGGTGTGTGTGCTGGATGGGGGCTTGGCTGAGCTGACTCAGAGCCGGACTCTGGGGCACTGGCTGAGAGATTCTTTCCAGCCAGGTGGGGGGATGCAGCCTGTGATGGAGACTTAAAGGGTGTGCAGCACCCTTGGGTACAGAAGGGGGCCTCAGTGGTCCTGGGGGGTTGACATGTTGCTGCAGGGACATTGTGTGAAGGCACTCAGTCCCCAGTCAGAGTGGGAGTGAGCAGGTGCAGCCCACCTCTGTCCACCCTCCCTTCTGACTCCCTGCTGGTCACTGACAGCAGATCCCGGGTTTGGGAGACATTGCCTTTTCCCAGCTGCATTACCTGTCTCCTAGCAACTCAATACAAGGACCAGGTACATCCTGGATGAATGAGCAGCCCTCTCTAGAGTGGGGGGAGGGAGGAAAGGAAGGAGAGGGCCCCACCCCCCAGGTGTGGAGGTGCTTTGGTGGCTAAAATCGTGGGCAGCATAGATGGGAGCTCAGCTCTGAGCCAGCCTATGACCACTCAAACCCAGGGGTGTCTCAAGAAGGACCCCAACCCATACCTGGGCTGTGGGAGCTCTGGGGGTTGGAGAGAAACAGCCTCTATTTCTGCCAGTGCAGATGGGGTTCAGGGTTCCAGGGTACAGGCAGGAAGAAGCTAGGGAGTGTTGGCTCCTTCCCACATCCCCACATTCCCTTCAAGTCGGTCGTGGGGTGAGAGTGCTTGATGGCTCCTACCACACCCAGGCCCTGCCACCAGTCCGGCTCTGCCTGGGCCCAGTCTGGAACGGGGCACTGGCCTGTTCCAAGGCCTCTCCCTGGTCTAAACACTGGGGCTCCGGAGGCCCAGTGCTATGGTCAGTGCTCCTTTCATGGACGCCCCGGCCTCTCTGGTGGCCCTTGCCTGGTGCCAAGCCCTCTGTGGCATGGTTGACCCGACAGTTCCCCCAGGTTGCCCACCACTCCTTGACCGGAAAGGACCACTCGACTACCCTGCAGCCTGCGGAACTTGGGAGCCCAGGTGGTTGCCTCTCACCTGACTCACAGGTGGGTCCCCCGAAGCCAGCTGCGCACTGGCAGCTGAAGCTGTTGATGCCGTGTGTGCAGGTCCCTCCATTCTGACAGGGGTGGGAAGCACACTCATTCACGTCTGAAAAACAGGTGGGCTGGGCCTCAGTGGAGGAACCAGGGTGGGAGGATCTGCCACTCCTGGGAGGAGCCGGGAGGGGACAGCAACCTGGCCTTCCTGGGCCTCACCCTGGGGCAGTGGCTCAGAGGCCAGGAAGCCACTGTGTTTGGTAGCCCCCGTGGTGCCCCACACTCATACCCCCCACCACAGGGACAGAGACCCTTGACCTTGGGCACTTGGGGCCACTGGCTGCACTTCCAGGGGTCCCTCAGAGCCCAGTGCCGCCCAGTGGGTGGTGCCCTCAGTGAACTCACCCAGTTGGCACCTCCTCCCTGTGAAGCCGGAGAGGCAGGAGCAGGTGTAGGAGGGGTTGCCCGTGACGCAGTCGTCAATGCACTTCCCACCGTTGAGGCAGGGGCGCAGAGCCAGGCACACAGAGGCTGCGGACACAGGAGGAGCAGAGCAGTCATCCCTCCCTCCTCCCAGACCTGAAGTTTCCATCTCCAAGGAATGGCTGTGTCGCCCTCTAGCGGCAAAACGCCCAGGTCTGCGCAAGGGTGCCCAGTGCCACTGATGTCTGTCTGTCCTCTGCCTGTTTCCGTGGGTGTTGTTTCCAAAGCCGGTGGAGGGCAGGCCTTAGAACCCCACAGCACCTTCTTATTCCATTAATCCATCAGCTTCCAAACTTGTCTGAGGGACTAAGAAAACAGGGACCTGAGGACTCGCAGCAAATATGGAGAGATGCCAGTGCTCCCGTGGACAAGGGGGATCCCTGTGTGGAAACCACAGGTGGTGAGGGGCGCCCCTCAGACCCTCTGGCAGCTGCAGTCTGGTCCCAGCGCTGCCCAGACAGCTACATAATTCGGGCACCCTGTGTGCAGAACCAGGTCTGTGCTCAGAGATGTTGAAACTGGTGTTTCTGGCCAGGCTGGGGGTGCCTCCTAGGGTCCCTTAGGGCCACCCAGCGCTGCCCCCGCCCAGCCTTCTAGGAAAGGCAGCATGTAGAGTTCTCTGGAGGATCAAGGCTGCTGGCATCTGCGGTTAACCAGCACAGATTGGCGCGTCTTGCCGTAACTCAAGTTACCGAGGGCTCCAGAGAGCTGGCATAGTATCAAGGGAAGGAGGGGGGCACTCCGGGAAGCACCCTGTGGCCCAGAACGCCATCAAGGCTGTAGGACCGCACCTTCCATCACTTCACTACGTGTTGCTCAGTCTGCGTTTCGGCTACACGGTTGTAGGTGGCAGCTGACTGCCCGAGCCCTTCTCTGGACCAGCCTTGCTCAGGAGCTAGGGTTCCCGGTGCAGACGTGCCGCCTCTCAGGTGTGAACGGACCCTCCCTTCCTGGGAAAGCTGATGCGTGTGACTCCAGCACTGACCCACACTGGCTCCATCTCCTGGGCTTGCAGTGTGGGCGGGTCCTCTCCCACAGCCCTGCTCCCAGGGCCCTCTGTGCAGCTAGTTTGGAGGGCCCAGCGTGCCTGCTCCACCTGTTCCCCCCAGAGGCCTGGGACAGAGAAGGAGGCATCTCTACAAAGGAAAGGGGTCCACAAAGGACTGTGGGCCCTCTTCTGAGGACCCCCCCATTCCTCAGGGTCCCAGCCTGCAGCCTCTGCAGAGGAGTATGGACCTGCCCACACCCACACCCATTCCTTACTCTTCAACCACAACCCAACCCCCTGAGCCACCACTGACCAGAGCCCCCCGGGGGGTGCAGGAGAGCTTGGCTCTTAGGTGCCCTGCTTGCTATTCTGGAGGAGGGAGAGAAAACATTGGCACCTGGTGCCATGAGCCCTTCACCCCCTAAGCTTAGTCTCTCGACTGGGGGCTATTGGGTGCTCCAGTAAGTGGGCAGGCTCAGATTCCGAGGTCTCTCTCAGTGGCTACCATCCCCAGTAGTCTGTGAGTCTTTCTGCCCCACGCATTGTCATGGATGGGGGCTCAGTGTCTGTCCCTCATACACTCACACCCTACCCAGCCCTGGCCCTGGGGTGCATGCCTGCCTCCTTGGGGGAGCTCTCACTCATTTTATGTTAGGGGGAGCAGCCCTTCCCATTGGCTTGGGTCTCTATGGGTTAGAGGTGAGTTGGGGGTGCTGGGAGGGACCAGGATCAGCCTCAGAATGACCAGGCCTTGGCAGGGCTTATGATCAGCCCCTTTAGCCGGAGTGGCTGAGTCAACCACTGACACCATCCCTCTATTCATTAGTATGGTTTCAGGAGGGTCTGTGACTCGCCCAGTGCCACACACCCTTCTGCAGCCAGTCCGACTGTCCCCACCGGCCACGTGCTCCCCCCTGGGTTGGATCGTTCCTCCTCTGCAGTGTGTTCTGAGCCGGAAGGCGCCCTGGCTGTCAGGGACCCTTGGATGTCTCCCTCCCTGCGGGTAGATGGATGTCTGGGTTGTCAAAATCTGCAAGTCCCAGCAGAAAAGGTGAAATGGGGTGAACAGAACACCTGCTTCCCAGGTGATCTGGGGGACACAGGTGGCCCGGGACCCCCATCTCGGCCCAGGAAGGAGGCTGGGCTCCTTCCCTCTGCACTGCAAACCTTGGGCTCCAGCGGGACCCCCGGCTTGCGCACCGGAGGCTCGAAGGCGCGCCCCCCCCCCCCCCCCCCCCCCAGGCAGAGACAGGCTCTTGGGCCAGCGGGGCGGGACAGTAGCAGCAGTGGGCGGAGCCACACGCAGCCCTGGGTCTGGGGCGGAGCTGGCGCCCAAGTCCCCGCCCCGCCCCTCCAGCACCTCCCCCGCCCATAGGCCACACCCCTCCATAGACCACGCCCTCCAAAGGCCACTCCCCTCCCTAGGCCACGACCCTCCCGGCGCCCGAGCTGCTCGCTCGGTGCTCTTACTTGCATGGGCGCAGCCCCCCACGCGCACCTGGGCATCATCGATTCTGAACGCCCAGCGCCCGGGCACGCCCACGTTGGTGCTGGTCTCCACCTCCGCCATATCCGAGGTGCGCGAGCCTGGGATATTGAAGTAGCGCCGCCCATCTCCCGCGTTGAAGCCAGCCTGGGTGGGCGTGAGAGAGTGGGGGCAGGTGCGGGCTGGGACCGCAGGTCTCCCTAAAGGTCCCACCTCCTCCAGATGGGGCCCTGCCCCATCCACCATTCCTGCACACACTGTCAAGGTCAAAGAGCTTGTGTGGGAGACAGCCGGAGAGCTCTAAAGTTTAGAGGTATCCACCCCTTAACCCCAACATAGGGGTGTCGAACTCAATCAGAGAAGGGGCCAAAATCTAAAATCCAGCCTAAATCACGGGCCGAATGGTTTACTGAACAGTCATAAACTGTCATTATGATGGAAACGCAGCGGAGTGCAGTGATGACAGCGCGATGCGGCGTTTCCCGCAAGGCCTGGCGAGACGGATTTGGCCCGTGGGCCTTGTGTTTGACACGTTGTCCTTGCCAATGTCAGCAGCCTCCCAGGCAGGCCCCTAGCCAAGGACTGGGTTGGGCCTGGCACCCGCACGTCCCCTCCCTCCCAATGACTCACTGCTGGGTTCTGGGTCTCTCCTAGGGCCCAGTGGCAAGTGCAACCTCAGGGGAAGTAGATAGGGGTGCACAGCCAGAAGGCGACCAGCAAGCCCTGGGCACTGGCACTTGACCATGCCCCCCACACCTGGGATTTCCTGCTGGCCGAGGTCCTTGGGGCCACAGCCCTGCAAGACCTAGGGGCAGTCAGTGCATAGAGATCCCAGGACCTTCTTTCCCTGCTGCAGTGGCAGGCAGTGTGGTCAGGACAAAGGTCTTTGGCCAAAGATGTTTCTGTGGTTCTGGGCTGTGAGAGGCTTGGATCGCCTTACAGCAGCCTCTGCACACCATAGTGCACGTGGGGGTGGGGGATGGGGTGGGGGCGGGGAGAGGTCTGCCTGTTTCATCAGCTCATGACAGTGCTGGCAATGGCGAGCAGGAACCCCTACCTGGGCCGCGATGCCCCCCAGGCCAGAGGCGTCACCCCCGCTGCTGGCGTGTGTGCCTGTGGTCCAGGTGATGGACTCGTAGTTGAAGATGGTGAAAGAGAACTTGCCGTCGGTAATGAGCACAGTCTGGAACGTGTTGACCTGCCAAGGAGGGAGGCCTGAACAGGGTTCTGCCCCCCTCATCTCCGTTCCCAGGCCCTGCCCCATCCACTATTCCTGCACATACTGGACGTTTGGTCAGCCACAGGGCAGAACCTTGATGGCCTCGACCTCCAACCTCCACTGTGTTTCCAGTGCCTGAGGCCCTGGCAAAGGCCAGCCTGACCCCTCCCCCGTACTCTGCACAGGGGCTGTGGGGGCCCACCGATGCCCGGAGCAGACACTGTCCCCTGTGGGGGCCGGGGACACAGAGCATTCCTGCTCAATTGGTCAAATCCACATAACTGCCTTGAGGGAATAGGACAAAAACATAAAAAGAAAAGGGAAAGATGTGAGGAATCAAGGAAAAGCGTTTTTTAAATAATTAGGTTTTATGATTTTTATGGAATTCTATTCCAGAATGTTAGTGGATAGGGTACATATGAGATGCTATTTCAAATCGAGCAAAGAAAGGATCATGGGATAAAAAGGAAATTCTGAAAAACAATGAAATCAGAATTTTACCTTACTCATGAAAATAAAGCCTAAATCAAGTAAGGCTGCAAATGACACCGTCGCAGCACTGGGATAAATAATGGGGGACCGTGGAGAGCTTCTCAGGGAGGCTTAAGCAGGACTTATGTTATCACAAAAACCAGAGAGAGAGAGAGAGAGAGAGAGAGAGAGAGAGAGAGAGAGAGAGTGAGTTATACATTTGGCTACAAAAACTTCTGAATATCACAAAGTGCCATGAGTAGCAAACAGCAAAGTGAAAAATGTTTTTATAATATATGCAACAGGCAAGAATGTTTATATTCTTAATATAGATCTTCCACAGATCAATGAGAAAAAAGACCAAAAGATAACACAGGCTATGCTCAGATGCATGACAAGTAGAATACAACCAGCAGGTAACACAGGAATAGATCCAGCATCGCTAGGAATCAAAGGTGTGGAAGTTTGAAAAGGCAAGGAAGAAAAGCGGGAGGACTCCTGGCTGGGGTTCTGGGAACCGGGCACATCGATGTGGCATGTGAGAATGCATGGGCACATTTTTGTGGGGAGCATGAAATTCTGCAGGCAGTAATCTCCCTTTTAGAGGCTCATGCCAGGATAAACCTCAGTGGACTTGAGGTTGTGCATGCCCACCTCAGGGTACCCTGCTCTTGAGGCCTTGGGCCAAACGGCTCTGGGCCAGTGTGTGGACGTGGCAGTGACCAGAAACCATACGGTGTATAGGCATACTTTTTTTCATTGCATTTCATTTATGGCACTTTTAGAAATTGAAGGTTTGTGATGACCCTGCATTGAGCAAGTCTGTTGGTGCCATTTTCCAACAGCATTTGCTTACTTTGTGTCTCATTTTGGTAATTGTCACAATATTTCAGACTTTTCATCATTATGTTATCTGTAATGGTGAACTGTGATCAGTGATTCAATGTTACTATTGTAATTGTTTTGGGGCACCATGAACCACCCCTTTAAGACAAATCTGTGTTCTGACTGCTTCGCTCATCGTTCCCCTGTCTATGCCCCTTTCTTCAGGCTCCCTGTTCTCTGAAACACAACAATAGTGACGTTGGACCGATAAATAATCCCACAATGGCCTCTAGGTGTTCAAGTGAGAGGACCAGTCACGTGTCTCTCACTTTAAATCAAAAGCTAGACATGATTAAGCCTAATGAGGAAGGCATGTCGAAAGCTGAGACTGGCTTAAAGCCAGACCTTTTCCACCAAACAGCTAAGTTGTGATGCAAAGGAAACACTCTTGGAGGAACTTAAAAGTGGTATTCCAGTGAACACACAGTGATAAGCTAAACAGCCTTATTGTTTATGTGCAAAAAGTTTTAGTGGTCTGGATAGAAGATCAAGCCAGCCACAACATCCCCTTCAGCCAAAGCCAAGCCCAGATCAAGGCCCTAACTCTTCCCAATTCTATGAAGACTTGGGGGAACTGAGGGGACTGCAGAAGGAAAGTCTGAAGCTGTCTGAGGTTGATTCATGAGGTCAAAGGGAAGAAGCCATCTCTGTAACATCCAAGTACAAAGTGAAGCAGCAAGAGCTGATGTGGAAGATGTGGCAAGTTATTCAGATCTAGCTGAGATAATTAATGAAGGTGGCTACACTGAACAACATTTGTAATACAGATGAGACAGGCTCATATTGGAAGACACCACCTAGGACTTTCATAGCTGGGGAGAAGTCAATGCCTGGCTTCAATGCTTCAAGGACAGGCTGACTCTCCTGTTAGGGGATAATGCAGCTTGTCACCCAAGAGCTCTGATGGAAATGGACAATGAGACTAATGTTGTTTTCATGCCTGCTAACACAGCACCCATTCTATAGCCCCTGGATCAAGAAGTCATGTCAACTTTCAAGCCTTATTATTATTTAAGTCTTATTATTTTGTAAGACTATAGCTCACATAGATATGATTTCTCTGATAGACCTGGGCAAAGTAAATTGGAAACTTTCTGGAAAGGATTCACTACTCTAGAAGCTATTAAGGACATTCATGGAAATAGATCAACAAAACAACTTAACAGGAGTTTGGCAAAAGGTGGTTCCAGCCCTCATGGAAGACTCTGAGGGGTTCAAGACGTCAGTGAGGAGTAACTGCAGATGTGGTGGAAATAGCAAGATACTAGAATTAACAGTAGAGTCTGAATTACTGCAACCTCATGATCAAATTTGAATGGATGAAGAGTTGATTTTTACAGATGAGCAAAGACAGTAGTTTTTTGAGCTGGAATTCACTCCTGGTGAAGATGCTGTGAAGACTGTTGAGGTGACAACAAGGGATTTAAAATATCACATACACTTAGCTGACAGGGGTCGAGAGCACTGACCACAGTTTTGAAAGGAGTCTGTGGGTAAAATGTTTATAGCACTATGAGAAATATTTTGTGAAAGGAAGAGTCAACCAGTGCAGCAAACATAATTGTCTAATGTTAAGAAAATGCCCCGGCCACCTCAACTGTCTGCAACCACCACCCATCAGTCAGCAGTCATATATCAGGGCAGGACCTTCCACCAGCACCAAGATTACCCCTCACTGAGGGCTCAGATGATGAGTAGCATTTTTTAGCAATATAATATTTTTAATTAAGGTATATACTTTTTTTTTAAAAAGTGTACAACAATGCTATTGTACACTTAATGGACTACAGTAGAGTGTCAACATAACCTTTATATGCAATGGGACACAAAAAAAGTCATATGACTCGTTCTATTGTGCTATTTGCTTTATGGCAGTGGCCTGTGTGTCTTCTTAGGTCAAAGTTAACATGGGAACTGAGCGCTAGTCTTTGGGAAGGTGTGGACGTAAGTGCTTGAGTTCTGAGAACAAGGAGGGTGATAGCCATGAAGGTGAGTGGCAGCACGGTCCGGGCAGTGGGAGCTGTGTGCTGGCGAGGCCCGGATTTGAGGAGCGTTAGCCGCTGCACCAACACCGCCCGGGGATCACCTGCTCTGGAGCTGCTGCTGCAGAGAGGGCTCCCAAGTCTCCCTGCCATAGACCACCTCCCACCCCAAATTCAGGATCCCGACTCCCTGTCTTATGAGGATGTGATGTGGATACTCCTTTTCTAACTGACATCTCCGGGTTTGGAAATGGGAGCATTAAGGTTCTCTGTCAACTCCTGGGGGCGTTCTGGGTGCCTCTTCCTCTGCAGAGGTGAAAGAATAATTTTTAAAATGAGGTAAGGGAACATATAAAATGAGGGAAATGCTCACAATACTGTTGAGTGAAGAAAAGAACAACAACCACTCACAGAACAGCATGTTCTTGGCCGCTCTATTTATTTTTCAGACTGTGGGTCAGTGTACACTAGGAAATGTTGACGGGGAGTTGTCTTCTGGTAGAGGAATTATAGTTGGGTTTTCTTTACCTTTTGTTACGCAGTTGTTTTGTTAAAAATTGGTGAAAAGAAAACAAAAAACAAACCTTGCAAAGTATCAGTGGGCTCAGTGTGGACAGAAGGTCACCAGTGCGCGGATCTGCAGTCACGTTCACAGAAAAGCCCGCACGGGGAGTGTCTCCCTCTCGTAGGCACCTGCCTCCCTACCTTCTTCCTCTCTCTCACTTGTTCGTTTTGGCTGCTGGGAAGCTCAGAGCCTGTGGGCATCTCATCACTTGGCACATCCCTCCCTTGACCCACTCGCCCACCTTCCCAGTTCCCCTGGGCCACCTCTAGGGACCCTGGGCTCCACCTCTAGATGCCCGCTGGGCATGGCCATCTTGGCACATCCGGGACCGAGCCCCTCACTTGCACCCCTAGAGCCGAGTGGAGGCCTCTCTGTCCACCCCACCCTCCCCAGTGAGTGTGACGGGCACCAGGCTCTGCTGTGATTGCTGTTGCTCCCCTGCTGCCCAGTGTCCTGTCACATCCCTCCAGTGGCTGTTCTGAGCCATCATGGTCCTCCACCTCCAAACCATGGAGTCCCTAAGACCCACCCTCTGGCTGGCACAGCCATGCTGGCCACTTCAGGGCACCTGGCACCTTTATCACATAGTCGTTTGTGACACCCCAGAGAGAGCCGTGTCCTATCTGATCTGTCCAGAGCTTGCCCCCCAAAGAGGTGCCCCTACAGAAATGTGCGTTAAATGCGTGAACCAACAGCTCAGAGAACCTCTCTACTCCCATTGCCTCCTCTCGTGCATGGTGTGACCCCAGGAGGGCCAGCACTGTCCTCATTGGGGGCCAGGGACCCACCAGGGGGACCCGCCCACCAGCACTACCCTGCCGGGCAGAGTGCTCACTTATTCCTGAGCTCACATTTGTTGTTTGGCACAGTCAAGGATGGAGTACAAGACGTGATAACTTCCTGTCTGACCCTTTGAGGACAAAAGCATTCCCAGTGGAAAACTTGCTAACATATCACCCTTCTCTTCTCCCCGCCATGTGAGCTACTCTCCTGGGCCTTGTCAGGTTCTGGCCTTCATGAGTGACTACCAGGCCCGAACCCAGTTTTTCCTCTCAGGCATGGGCCCGCCACTGAAGCTGACACCCCCTTAGCAAAGTGGTCGCCCTGGAGGGAGGCCGGGACCCAGCTGTGCCTCCCCCTTCCCCGGGACAGACACTCACGGGGGAGGAGGAGCTGCCTCCGAAGAAGGTCACGCGGTTCCAGGTGGCGATGAACACCCAGGTGGCAGAGAAGTCCGGCAGCTCGGGGAAGTAGCGTCTGACATCGTCCGTGGCTCTGCGCAGCGTGGCTGGGTCGGTGGCCTCCCGGTAGTACACATCCCCTGCACGCCGGTTGTCCACATCCGCCCAGAAGGCCGCCACCACACAGCGGTCCTTGGCGATGGGAAAGGCCACTGGGGTGAACTGAGAAACCTCCTTCAGGAAGGAGATGATCCCATTGTTGTTCACCTGTCAGGGCAGAAAGCCAGAGAGGGACTGATGGGGGCTGTGGGTAGGCAGGCGGGCCAGCGCCTCCCAGCCTCCCCCACCAGGCACCCTGCGAGGTGAGCCAGGCTTGGGAAGAGCATCCCAGGACGACCTGGCAGTTCCTGGTCCCACACAGGGGACTCCTCAGCCTGATCCGTTCCCTCCTAGACAGGTCGTGTCCCAGATGCCCTGCAGAGTACCCAGCCCTGGGCTGCTGCTCTGGGGTCCGGGAGCCCCAGTGTGGGCCCTTGTCTTTGACAGGTGGGGCACTCAGGCCTGCTCAGCAGCCATTCCAGCCAGGGGCCTTCGGAGGGTAGGACAGAGTCCCAGCCTCTAGCCTGGAAGAATCAGGTGAGGGCAGGAGTGCCCACAGAGCAGAGGCGGGGTGCCCAAGGGCCAGCATTGCCAGGGGAGGCTGCAAAAGTTTCAATGACAAGTGGCTTCTGTGCTCAGGACTCTGGGAAGGGGGAGCCCTAGAATCTCCTGAGCAGAGGAAGGGGAACAGCATCATTGCAGCTGGACAGCCCTGACCCTGCCACATGCTGGCTATGCAACCGTGAGGTGCAGCCTGGGCTCTCTGCACTCTGGATTTTTACCTCGGAGGTGGGGCTAATGCTGCTGCTGGCCTCTCAGGGTGCTGGACAGGGTGAATGAGTTAGCGATCACAGAGCTGGGCTTGAGGCTGTCCTGACTCACTCCGGGGAAGACTGTGGTCAGAACCGTGCTTTTAGAAAAGACCTTCAGGACTCCTCCTTAGGTGAGGAAGGCTCTGTTACCCAGACCAGCAAAAAAGGTCGATAAATATATTTCTCAAAGGCACCAACGCGCAAACAAGCGAGTGAGGGTCTTGATTCCACGTGGAGCACAAGGAGCCTGGAGGGGCCCTGGCCCTCAAAGCTCTTTCCCTGAGAGACTACGTCTGCGGACACAGAACCCACAGCTGCAAAGCAGGCCTGCGACCTGAGTGGCCTCGTGGAAGGAGAAGAATAGATGTCAGAGCTCAGAGCTGGCTCGAGTCAGGGAGCCTAGAGAACCCGGCACTAAACTGGGACCCCACAGCTGCCCACACCGTTCAGGTGAAGCTGAGGGAAGAGTCTTGTGCAGACTTACCCCCTCCTGTCACACCTGTGACTTGGATTAAGGTGTTTCCTGCCAAGCAGAAGCAGAGAAACACCTTTTTTTGGAGGAAGGTGGTCTCACCTGAGGCTCAAGTCACTCCCATGAATGAGGCTTCAAATGCAAAACCGAGGACACAGTCGGAGATAACGGGCGCACAAGGAAGCCGGACGCCACCAACAGGAGCAAGTGGGAACATGAGAAACACCAGATACCAGAGTTATCTGACAATAAAATAACTATATTTACTATGTACAAACAGGCAGAGAGGCCCATGGGCCAGAACAGAAATAACCCCTTGTTCGTGTGGTCAAACGACTTTCAACAAATGGTGCTGGGGAAACAGGAGATTCACAGGCAAAACAATGAAGCGGGACCCTTACCTAACACCACAGCCAAAAATTAGCTCCAGTGGATCAAAGACCTAAAGGGAAGGGCTCAAAATTTAAAACTCAGAAGAAAACACAGGATAAAGGCTTCACAGCATTGGACTCGGCAGTGATTTCCTGCAGGTGACACCGAAGGCACAGGCAACAAAACAAACCAAATTGCAGTCCATTGAAATTAAAAACCTTTTGTGCATCAAAAAGCACGATTAGCAACCCACTAGATGGGAGAAAACACCTGAAAAATCACATATCTAATAAGGGATATATAGAAAACTCCTTCAACAGTATAGCCCAAAACAACCTGATTGAAAAATGGTCAAAGGACCTGAAACAGACATTTCTCCAAAGAAGATCCACGAATGGCCAATCAGCACATGCTGGGTCATCAGGGAAAGAGTCAAAGCCACAGAGCGGTACCACCTCACACCCATCAGGGTGGCTTTCATCAAAGAAACAGGAAACACCAGTGTGAGGGGTTCACAGAGAAGGGAACACGGCACAGCCGCTGGGATAAGAGGCCACCACGGCCTAGCCCAGGCCCTTTGCAGGAACTCCGAGATTCCCAGAGGTGCAGGTCGGTCACAGGGGGAGCTGAAGCAGGACCCAGCCACACCCTGTTTAAAATTGGGACGCTGATGGGCCCCGGGTGAGAGCCTGTCGAAGCTGAGTGTGACTGCCTTGTGATTTGCTGGCCTCTCATTTGGGGTGAGTTGACTGGAACTTGACACGAACAAGAAAAGGGCCCAGGGTGGGAGGCCTCATGGAAATGGCTCATGGCAAGAGACACCTCGGTTTTTGTGAGACAGGAGAGCTGCCCCTGGGAAGCCTTTTCTCCCACTCCAGTGACCAGTGACGCCGCTGGTTTCCTGGGCCCTCCAGTCACAGAGGGTCCCCAGGCGGCGGCAGCCTCTCAGGGCAGCCCCGACATGGGGAGCTCTCAGAAGGGTCAGCCAGTGCTGTGGGCAGAACTGGAAGTGGTCACCCTGGCCATGTCGGGGGCTCTTTGGGACCAGACAAGCCAGATTTTTACTGACCTTGGGTTGTTGCAAATGGCCTCATCCGGGTAAGCAGGCTGTTCTCGGAAGGGCCAGACAATGACCCTCTTTGGCCTGTGGACCACATACAGTCTCTATGGCGCATTCCTGTCCCTTCTCTTTGTTGTTGTTTTTACAGCCCTTTAAAAATATAAACAACATCCCTAGCTCACAGGCCATACCGTGGCTGCCTGATGGGGAACCTCTGGCTTGCAAATCCAGGCTTACTGGTACAGCCACACCCACTCGCTATCTGTGGGGCTCAGAGCAGAGTAGCCCGTCAGAACCCGTATGGCTACAGGCCGAAGATGTCCACTGCCTGGCCCTCTGCTGGAAAAAGCCTGGCAGAGCCATCTGCTGGCGGGCCTGCCACAGGAAGAGCACAGCACGCCTCACCACAGACGCCCACTTCGGGGCCTAACGAGGGAACAGACTGCAGCTGCTAATGAAACAGTCTGAGTCCCTGTGATGGGACTGACGCGCACTGAGCTGCTGGAGGTGCATCCTAGGTTGCCCCTGCCTCCGGGGCTCCTCATGCCAGAAATGGCAGCTGGGCAGCAGGGAAGGACTGTGTGCTATTGAGGCGAAGCCACCAACACACACTGGGCTTGTCTCCCACAGACACTGGCCTGCTATTCCCAGGGCGGGTCCTGGGACTGGGCTGCTGCCACAGGCGCCATGGGCCACCTGCTGGGGTGGGACCTGCCACATTGCCCCTCCTGCAGCTCCCTCCCCGCGCCCCCCCCCCCAACCCGGCTCCGCTCCCACAGACGGACCAGGTTTCCTTCCTGCCTTTGAAGTGCAAGTCCAACTCTCAGGTGTGTGTGGTGTGTGCAGGGGCTGCTCCAGCCTGCCCACCAGCACTTGGCCTCGTTCCTCTCCTGTGTGCCTCCCCACGGGGTGTGGGCCCAGAGCCCGGGGGTCCAGGAAGGAGGCAGAACAAGCCAGCCCTGTTCCTCTGCCAGAGCAGGGCAGGGCCAGGACCACAGCGGAGCAGGCAGCGGGGCCAGGCACTGGGCAAGCAGGCTGCTGGCAGGCCTGTCACCTGGACAGGATCCTCCTTGGATGTCCTCTGTCCAGATGGGAACCCTGAGCATCCTGTGTGGGTGGGGAGTGGGCAAGGGCTGGGTGAGGTGGGCCCAGGGAAGCAAGCTGCTGGCAAAGGCTACTTCCTGCAAAATATCCATTTTATTATTATTATTTTTCTACTTTCAATAGTACTTAGTAAAACACACAGCACAGACATGGAAACAAGGAGAAAGGGTGAGGCCAGACCCCCTGCCATACGCATCCTGTGGACGGGTGCATACCCCGGATGAGAGGTGTGTTTAATCCCACCCTTCACCTACACAGGGGCCACCAGCATGCTCAGCTGGGAGAAACCCTGAGGCCACATGCTACAGGAAGCCCAATGACTGTGAACTCCGGTGGCCCTTGGCGCATGGAAGAGGCCCATGCTTCACCTGGGCAGGGGGGGGGCGGGGGAGGGCATATGTGGTCAGGAGGGGACTAGCCTGTGGGGACTCAGGCCTTTCCTGCAGGACACGGCTGGCCCTGGCTGGCTCGGGAAGAAGCACAGAGAGACTGTGCTGGTGGCATTTCCGACTTGGATAGAAGCAGGAAAGAGCGGAAGTGTCCTGGAGAGTCTCTTGGAGAGACTTCCAGCCAAAAGCGTGTGAATGGGGCTGGCTGGTCCCCTGTGTGGGAGAGCGCGTGGGCTCTCTGGTGCCACCTCGCTGGGGGGAGGGGCTGCTCTGAGAGGGCAGCCTGGAGGGGAGCCAGGGACCCCGCGTGTGCGGCCACAGACCCCAGCTCTGCAAACATCAGAGCCAAGAGGGCGGGCCTTGGTTCCTGCTTTGACTTCTCTGCCAAAAATAAAACAATAAAGCCCCTGAGGCCTTTTATAAGCTTGTTTTGAAAAATGTAGGCATGTCTTTTATTTCCTGGCAGCTCTCTGGGTAATCAGGGTTCCTCCCACAAGCACAGTTGGGGCCGGAGTCCTGCTTGAAGGGCGGTGAGTGGGCAGGGCTCCTTGGGCCCATGGGCAAGGTCAGCCTGAGCCCTGGAGCCCGAGCCTGGTGTACACCCAGCCCCGGAAGCAGGAAGCTGGCTCCTGGCTGGCACCCACGTCCTGGGGGAGCAGCACTTGGGGCTGCAGGAAGATTGGGAGGGGAGGGCATTACCACCAGGGACAGCCAGGGCCAACTTCCTGGGAGAGAGGTATCTGAGTGCAGCCAGTGCCCAGATGGCTGCAGGGTTGGGGTGGGCTGAGGGGTGAAGGAGGAATTCCCAAGGGTGGGAAAGAGAAACTGGTGTTGGGGGACCAGCCCTTCCTTTCCTTCCAGGCTAAGCCCTGCTGAGCTGTGGGCCTTGGACTGCACTTCCTGCTGTCTGCTGTCCAGGGACTCCCTGTGGCCACACTCTGGTCTCCTGCAGGGCCTCA